CCTTCACTGCCGTTAATTATCATTTTTCAGCCGTTTGAGTGATAAATTCAAACTCTTTCTGTCGGTCTGAACGTTACATACAGTTTAAACTCTCTGTTTGAATCCTACCGGACATTTAACGTGAATATCTGCCGTTAAAGTTTAGAGACTTACGACACAACTTCCGCCATTTCTGTTTTCAAATATCCGCGGTACCACGAGCGATCTCATTGGCCGCTTGACGATGACGTGGCAGCACGTTGAGCCAATCAGGGATCTTCTTCTTCTTCTTCGAGCTTTAACGGCAGTTTGCATCCTTGGGGACTCGCTGCTGCCATCTTCTGGAGGGAGGTATTATTATATATATAATATATATATATAATATATATATTATATATATATATTATATATATAATATATATAATATATATATAATATATTATATATTATATATTATATATATATAATATATAATATATATATATAATATATATATAATATATTATATTTATATATAATATATATATATTATATATATAATATATATATAATATATATATATTATATATATATAATATATATATTATATATTATATATATAATATATATATATAATATATATATTATATATATATTATATATATATATTATATATATAATATATATATATAATATATATATTATATATATATATTATATATATAATATATATAATATATATATATATATTATATATTATATATTATATATATATAATATATAATATATATATATAATATATATATATAATATATTTTTTATATATATATATATATATTATATATATAATATATATATAATATATATATATTATATATTATATATATATATATATATATTATATATATATATATATATATATTAATATATATTATATATATTATATATATAATATATTATATATATAATATATATATTATATATATAATATATATATATTATATATATAATATATATTATATAATATATTATATATATAATATATTTATATCCAACCTGCCACAGTCCGTCCAGCAGCTGGCGATTGCCGATTTATTCACTCATACAAGCGCGTTGAACCATTTCTAACCCACAAAATGACACATTGAGATCAGATCACTCAGACCATTTGCCGAGGTGGTCTGGGGCTCATTTGACCAAATACCTTTTGTATCATTGATCGAGACAGACGACAACCCACCTAGAGCCGGAGGATCTGTCCTAGGTTTCTGCCTTTTAACAGGCAGTTTTTCCTTGCCCTTGTCTCCAAGGTCTTGCTCATGGTGGTACTGTTGGGTCTCTGTAATTAATGTTAAAGAGTTCGGTCTAGACCTGCTCTATTTGAAAAGTGTCCTGAGATAATAGCTATACAAATAAAATTGAATTGAATTGAATTGAACTGCACTAGTTTCATTGAAGAAGACTATACTGACTGTATGTCACTTCCGTTCTGGCCTTTGTATTTGGCCTGACACCTCTGGGCCACCGTATATAATAGTATTAAATAATATTAAATAGAATAAATAATATTAAATAATATTAAATAATATTAAATAATATTAAATAGTATTAAATAATGTAATTATAATATTATAAAAGATTACGGCCAAGTGTTTAAAAAAGTCCCCCCTAGTGGCCTGGCGCACTTCCGTTTTGTTGAGTGAATTTGCAGCGTTTTGCTTTGTTTTGTTGTTTTGTGTGTTTCGGGTATTTGCAGCATTTTTCTTTGGCATTTGTTTTGGGTTTGTAAATTTTTGCTTCTGCTTCGTTTTTGTGATTGCAGCATTTTTCTGTTGCATTTGTTTTATGTGTTTGTGTGTTTTTGGTTTTGCATCATTCCTGTGTTTGCAGAGTTTTGCCGGTTGCGGCGCGTTTGCCCTTGTCGGCCACCGTAGATTGGGGAGCCTGTTCTCTCATTCTCTGGTTACCTGGTCTGGCCTCATTCTGCAGAGCTGAATGTAACATTAATTATTATGGTGTTATTATTATATCGTATATAATTATTAAATTTTTCTTACATCATACATGTAAAATCCTACATTTTTTGTTACATTAAGTAACCCCACTCTTATAGTTCCAGGAGGTGTCTGGATGGTTCTCTGGTCTTGGTCAATACACTGTATTGGTCCTGACACTGTCTGACCACTTCCTCGCTGTCTGCTCTTTGTTTACTTTGAGTCTCCCTCTTTCGATGGCGCTTTGTCATTTTTCTACCAGTCTGGTAAATGGTAAATGGACCTGTACTATTATAGCGCCTTTCTAGTCTTCCGACCACTCAAAGCTCTATTACACTACGTGCCACATTCACCCTTTCACACACATTCACTCAAACACAAACAGAAACTAACTCATTCATACACACTCACACACTGATGCACGGCATCAGGAGCAATTTGGGGTTCAGTATCTTGCTCAAGGATACTTCGACATGTGGCGGCAGGAGAGTCATCGAACCAACAACCTTCTGATTAGGGGACGAACCCGCTCTGCCTCTGCACCACAGCTGCCCGCCTGCTTGCTTTCATCTTCTTCTCTCTCTTCCTCTTCCACTCTCGTCATCCTCCCCATCACACACTCCCTGCTGATCACTTCCTGTCTCTTGGTTAGTCTCTGTTTCTGTCTCAGGTTCTCTTCTAGTCTGCTCAGTTTCATCACCTCATTCCCTCACATGTCTTTCATTTTGTCTCTGTGATTGCTGAAAACTAAACAAATAAACTGAAAAATTACCAGCAGCACAAGCAGCACATCAGTCTTTTCCGTCTGGAAGCCTTTTCCTCGTGACGTTTCACCATCTCGTCAAAGATTTTCCTGTGAATGAAACAAGTGAACGTACAGTTAACATCATCCAACAAACCCCAACACCAGTGGTTGCCAACAAACAAAATTTACCCTGAAACAAGATTTATATAATGACTTGTCAAAATGTGTCCAATGAAAGCCTCTGTTTGCGGTATTTTCATACAAATATTATCATGTAATGATACCATCTGTTACCTGAAATCTGAAATTCTGTTCTATGGTCATCCCTGCCGTACAGTGTTGTATTGACATGGTACTAATGTTTGTCCACTACTTTAAAGTCAAAACTGCTCCACCAAATGAAAATCTGCTCAAAGATTGAAGGTCAACCCCTGGAAATGGCAAAACAGTGCCAAAATTGTCCTGTTGGGTTTAGGATATGACAATCAAAGTATCATCAATCAATCCGTTTTCTAGCTAGCATAGTGTTAGCTTTAGTATCTCTAAGTGAAGTATTTTAAGGACTGCTCATAGGTCATTGATACCACTTGGTGGGTGAGGTTGTTGTTTGTAAGAATCACAGAAAACGTCATACTTGATGTTGTCGAACTGTTCCCCCAGCGTCCCGGTGATCTCTAGAATGGCGTCAGCTGTATCTCTCAGTGATTGGCTCGCTTCAGTCACATGATTATTCGTGATCAGGTCTTTCCAGTCTTCAATCGCCTCAGGAAGTTCAAACGCCAGTCCAACAAGTCCTCCTGCAACCTGATGATGAATATGGATCAATACATGATTCATTTTCAATATTATCAGACTGTCAGTCTCAAAACACATGTCCCTTTATCAAAATCAACGATAAACACAACAACAATAAACTTTTGTGTATTCTTACCTTGACACCTCCTTTTAGGGCTTTTGACGAACATTTTTTGGTTAGTTTTCTAGCTACTTTAGCACTAGATTTGACAATCTTGCCAGTTCCTAAACCACTTTCTTTACACATTAGTTTGACCAGTTGCTCAGCTCCTTTAGCAAACAAATGTTTACGTTTTTTCCACGAAGCTGAAGTGCAAAAAATGCTAAAATTCCAACCAGTCCAACTATCACTTCAGGGTTGAAGAGGATGTTTCTTGGTCCTTTGTCAAGAAGAATCTGTGGAGCTTTATCAAGCCTGCGGATGTTGATCTGCTGCTTCAGTCCACTTCGTCTGGCCATGGCTCTCAGAATTTCAGTCAAGACATGTTTATCCACTTTATTTGGGTCCGTGGAGGAACTCTTCACCTTCAGTTGTTCAAACAGTTCCTGTATTTCTTCTGCAACCTCGTTGCTCTTTTCGTCTATCACTTGCGCCTCTTTCATGGTGTCACTGGATATGAAGCCCTCAATGATTTTAGTAGCCACAGATACAGTGGCACCTGCACCTGAACACACTACTGCCACGCCTAAAAGTGGAGCAGCTGCACCGCCGGTGAACAAAATGGCCACACCGGCTGCGATCATACATGCAGATTGTTCCACTGCTATGCGTGACTCTCCAGCCTGCGAGTCAGGACTGATCCCCTGTTGCTGACCCTGCCTGTTTGCTGACCATTGCTTTTGCCTGATACCTGGACCTTTGGATACTGATCAGATACCAGTTCTGAGACGTCTGCGGTTATGCCTGCAACCCTCTACACCTTCAAAGAGGAGTCCGTCATCCCACTACCCCCTAAGTGAGTGTCCGCTTTCCCTGGTCCCTTCCCCTCTCCATAACTCCCCAAGAAGATTCACAGGCAACCCTTTGCTTCCCCCCTTCCCTACCTTTAGTCCTCACCCCCTGCCTTTTCCCCCCGAAGAAGAAAGACACCCTTTTTTCACTGTTTAGATTCACCTGTGCTACTAATAAATTCACTATCACTGATTCATTGTTTACCGTGTGCTGCTATTGGGTTCATCCTTCCCCCCCGTTACAGTACAATCTGGCCATAATATGAACCCAGCGCACATTTCCCCTGCCAAAGACTGATTTGAACACAGAGGGAGTCCTCCAGCAGCATGAGGCATTCATGGCATCCGCTGCAACGGCGACTAAGCAGACAGCTGCCGCTCAGAAACAGGCCTTCTCCACTTTGGCTGACCAAGTGCAAAAACTAACTGCTGCCATCGCCCAGTTGAACCCTGGTAGTTCCACTCCTGCATCTGCCGGTCCAACAAGCTCTTCCTTGCCACTGGTTCCAGTCTCGGAACCATGCATTGGAGCTTCTGAACGATATGCAGGTGAACCTGAGGGTTGTAACCCGTTTGTGACTAATTGCTCCATATTCTTTGCCTTACAAACTCTTACCTTTTGCTTCTGAAGAAGCTACAGTAGCGTTCACCATTAATCAACTGACAGGAAGGGCTAGACTGTGGGGAACGGCTGAGTGGGATAAACAGACACTTGCTTGTGCTTCATTTGCATCATTCTCTGCTGAATTACGCAAAGTCTTTGGGCAGGGTTTCCAGTCTCCTGACGCTAGTGGTCTTCTGAGTCTGTCAGGGTAACCAGTCAGTGTTTGATTACTCCATAGATTTCCGCACCAAGGCCTGTTCAAGTAGCTGGAATGGGGGCACTCTTTGAGGTGTATTTTTGCATGGTTTGGCATCAAGGATGAGCTGGTGTCTTACGCCCTTCCATCTTCCTTTGAGGAGCCCTAGCCAACAACATAGACCTCCGCATCCAGGCTCGCAAAAGGGAGAAGCGACAAGCGCCCTCCACTCGCTCGTCTGCCGCATTATCACGTCTCCCTGCCCCCAACCAGACCCCTCCTGCAGTCTGTCTTGAGCCTCTGTCTAGCGACCCTGAGCCCATGCAGTTGGGTGGCACCAGTCTGTCCCCTGAAGAACGAGAGCGATGCCGCAAAGCTAACCTCTGCCTGTACTGTGGTCGACCAGGCCACTTCATCTCCCATTGCCCAGCAAGGGGGGGGGGGCCTCATCGGTAGGTGGGGAGTTACTAGTGAGTCCATCCTTTTTCAAAGCCTCCTCTGTGGTTGACCATCGTTCATCCCCCCCCCGTCCTTCTGATCCTCCAACCAGAGACCAGACAGCTGAGAACAAGTCTGAAAGAAGAAAGTCATCTGGGTAGACTAATGTGCTGTTTTAGGACAACTCAGTAAAATGTGCAATGTATTTTGGTTGCGCTGTGTGTCAAATTCTTTATAATCTACAGAAGAGGAAAGGCCACATGGGAACATTTTAAGTTCTGAGTTTAAAGGAATGTCTGAATTCAGTGAGAACTTTAAACTCCTTAAAAATCTCACTTGGTTTCACTGTTTATTACTGTAGATTATCCCTTTTTTTTTACACGTTGGTTCAAATGATATTTTATGACAACATTTCTGGATATCAGTTTATTATCTGTGCAATAAACTTCCTCATAGCTATGATATGAAGCGAAGAAAGAATAACAAGAGTTTCTTACCTGTTTTTGAAAGTTGTTGTTGAGTAAAGTTTGGAGAGAATCTATGGACTGACTGTAAACTCAAATGTTGTAAATGGTAAATTGACCTGTACTTGTGTAGCACCTACCACCTTATTAAAACTTAAGATCATTCATTTCTTAAGAACATGGCAATGATGTGATTATTAGTTGTGTTCTGGGTTGAGAATGATGAAGGCAGTCAGATAACAATTAGATAATAAACAGGATGAAGGTTTTATTGGGCAGCTATCATGTTTTTTAGTGCCAATAGCTGCTGTCAGTGGGGGAAAAGAACCTGCTCCCAGACCCCCCCCCCATCTGCCCCCTGGTGCAGAAAATCTGCAGCTACAAGATTACAGGAAGTCACATGACTTACGGAAAGTGAGCTGCAGGATGAAGCTCAGATAAGAAACTCTGCCACAGTCAGACAGACGGACAAACACAGAGCCAGACTTCACTTTCACACTTTATTCAAACAGAACTTTCACAACAGGTAAGAAACTCCTTTTTTTCTTCTTTCTTATCTTTATCTCATTCTATAGATTTAAATATCAAAATATAATAACAATAAAACTCTTGTGATTCTCCTCACAAGGTGCAAAAGGAAACTAGATGCTGTATATTTAAGACAGTGGAGAGCTGTATGGATTGTGATTCTGTTCAAACAACCAGAGAGAGTTGAACATGGTATCTACAGTATAAAGAGACTCTGCTTTATGGAACAGTGTGTTCTTTCAGCCTTTCCGTATACACCCAGCTCACAGTGCACAGATCCTGAGAGGAAGTTTATTGTGCAGACACTCTGATGTTCAGACAGAAAAATCTAAATCAGCTTCACTGCAGCAACAAAGTGAAACCAGAGTTACCTCCTGTGGTCGTATCAAACTGCAGTTTACCTCCATGTCTGTCAGATTCATAGGAAATAAGTGACAAAGAGTTTGAAGGAATTATATATAAAAGGTATAAAGTGTATTTTGTGTCTGAATGGAAGTAATCACTATATTGATCATACATACAGTATGTATTCAACCTTGATTATACCTGCTCAAACACTTCAGTGACTCATGTTTCCCTCACAGAGAGTTCTAGTGTTTCAGAGAGTTAAAGGGGGGTATAGTGCAGGATATCAAGCAAACAACCTCTGAAGTAACATGTTATTTATCTAAAACCTCACTTATTACTGAATTTAAAAATGAGGTCAAATGTTTCTTGTATCCTGAAGTGTCAGCTGGTAATGGAGCTCTATGGTCAGTGTTCATCCTGATGCTGCAGCTGTCACTGTGTGGTCTTTAGTCTGACTGTAGAATGTAGACAACAACTTCCTCCGTGACTATAAAGACAACAAGAAATGTATTGAATCGATAATTGATGAAGAAACAGATTACACAGGACCTTTACTGTGACTGTAACTGATGTTGTGACAAACCAAAGGCTCATAAATACAGTACAAGTTCCTGCTGCAAAAACAGACATTTAGCAGTGAGCCTCTGTGTTGTTATAATACTATAGGAGATGATATGAGTATGAGACGTTACACTGGACCTGCACTTACATCGTCAGTAATACCAGAACTGCAGTAACACTAAATATATGGATCAGAAATATAATAATATAATTAAACTATAGAATCTCTCATCTCATCAGTTTGACTATTTCTCTCTCACAGTAGCTCTATCGTTACCTCCGGTGCTCGTCTACCTGTGAACTTACATTCTGCAACGCCACACACACCTGAGCAGAGAAGACTCAGCTAGCAGGATGAGCTGACGTTAGCATCAGTAGAAAGTTACACACATGAAAAACGAGGCTGAACAGTCACACACGATTTACACGATAAACAGTAAAACAACATTAAATATAGAAAAACGTGCAGTTGGGTGACAGACGTATGGTATCGGTCCATGATTCCTTTGAGAAAGCAGTTGCAGTCTTTGTGGGAACATTTTGTGGACAATGTTGAGGCCCGACGTCTGACGTCTGTTTTTTACAAACCATAACTCCCTGTTTAATTCCCTGTTGTATTAAAACCAATGTGGTCCGTGTTGCTTTGGTCAGTGCTTGTAACATATTCACTGTGTGACCAGAGAACCTTCCTCACTCTGTCAGTACTGTAGATAGCAGGAGTGGTACCTGATTGTGGTAAGCCTCATTCTTTCAGATGGATAAAAAAATAAAGACAAAAACAAAGTCACATGTCCCCCCAGGTATAGCCGAACGGGACGCACAAGTAAAGCCTGTGTGGGAAACACAGCTGTATTTCATGGTCTTCATCGGCAGATAGTTTACTCAGGTGTCATGGAGATGGTTTTAGTTGCACCAATTAATTCAAAGTGTCCTCTGACTTTCTTCTTTCAGACTTGATCTCAGTTTTCTGGGCTCTGGTTGGAGGATCAGGGATCAGAGACCTCCATCATGGCCACCGCTGACCAGCTGCTGGAGCTGATGTTCTCCTGGATCGAGCAGAGGGAGCGCTGTGCAGAGAAACTGAGGAAACTGGCCAAAGAGCTGGAGTTACTCAGGGAGAAGTGTAACGCTGCAGAATGTGTTGGAAGCACATATGCAGTGGTTGGATCCTTATCTCTGATCGGGGCCGGTGTGGCCACTGTGTTCACTGGCGGTGCAGCTGCTCCACTTTTAGGCGTGGCAGGAGCAGTATGTTCAGGTGTCGGTCTAACTGTATCTGTGGCTTCTAAAATCATTGAGCACTTCTCATCCAGCGATACCATGAAAGAGGCACAGGAGATTGAAAAGAAGAGCAACAAGGTTGCAGAAGAAATCCAGGATCTGTTCAGGCAACTGAAGGCGGAGTGTTCCTCCACTGACCCAGATGAAGTGGACCAACACGTCATGACTGAAATTCTGAAAGGCATGGCCAGAAGATGTGGACTCAAATGGCACCTAATGGATTTCAAGAGGATTTTTGTTGCAATAAAGAGAAACATCAACGAGATCTTATTCAGTCCTGTAGTGAAAGTTGCACTGGTAGTAAAACTTGCCAGTATTTTAAATTTTTTCACATTTAAAGTTAATGGGAAAATATACAAACATTTGTTTAACAAAGGAGCTAAAGAATTCACCATACCAATGACTAAAATTGCTGAAGAAGGAGCAAAAAAACTCACCAAAGACATGGCTAAGACTGGATTTAAAAAAGCCTTTAAAGGAGGCGCCATGGTAAGATTCACTAACTATACACACATGAATTGTTTCATAATTAAATCTCATAAATCATTTTATAAATAAATAACATTTTTTATTTATGATTTTAATTATTGGTTGTTTTTATGATTTTGATAAAGGGACACGTGTTCTGAGGCTGACAGATGATAATATTGGAAATGAATCATGTATTGATCCATATTCATCATCAGGTTGTAGGAGGAGCTGTTGGACTGGCGTTTGAACTTCCTGAGGCGATTGACAACTGGAAAGAGCTGATCAAGAATAATCATGTGACTGAAGCGAGCCAATCACTGAGAGATACAGCTAAGGCCATTGAAAAGATCTGCCAGACACTGAGGGAACAGTTCGACAACATGAAGTAAGAAGTTTTCTGTGATTGTCCACCTAGATTCTCTCCTCCTGTAGATCTGAGAACAGCAGCTGGACTCATTTAGATTCATGTTACTTCAAATACTGACTGCTTGTCCTGCTGGAAAACCCATCCAAAGAAACTTTACTTTACTGTCCACCTGTATAGTCAGACCACTGACTATACAGGTGGACACCGATACAGACTTTATCAGGTATCGACCGTGTCAGGATATTCAGGCTTCATTTTTGTACAGTGGGAGGAAGTGGAGACGTCCATCTTTTATATGTAGATGAGCCATACTCATACATACTCATATTTTTACTAGAAAATGGATAAATCTGTAGCAAGACCTACAAAAAGTTTTCAACATGACAAATAATCACTTCCAGACACTGAAGCTAACAACATGCTCGCTAGCAGATTCACAGACGATTTCATTGGACACATTTTGACAGGGGATGGAACGGTTGACAACGTTGCTTTCAGTTGGGTTCAAACCTTTCTATCTCTAATTTTGATACAGGTCATTACTTCCCAACATTTACATGAACATCGTTTCAGGGTAAAATGTTTGCTCGCAACCACTGATGTTGATTTATGCTAACTGTCATTTCATTTGTTTTATTCACAGAAAGATGTTACAAGAGATGGACAAAAGACAACAAGAAGAAGAGGAGAAGGCTAAAAGACGACAAGAAGAAGAGAAGAAGGCTAAAAGACGACGAGAGGAAGAGGAGAAGGCTAAAAGACGACAAGAAGAAGTTGATCAAACAAATCAAAATAAAGAGACAGAAAGTGGTCAGCAGGGAGGGGGTGATCAGGGAGATAAGGAGAGTGATAGGGACGATGAGGAGAGTGATCAGGAGGATGAGGAGAGTGATTGTGAAGATGAGGAGAGTGATCAGGAGGATGAGGAGAGTGATTGTGAAGATGAGGAGAGTGATCAGGAGGATGAGGAGAGTGATTGTGAAGATGAGGAGAGTGATCAGGAGGATGAGGAGAGTGATTGTGAAGATGAGGAGAGTGATCAGGAGGATGAGGAGAGTGATTGTGAAGATGAGGAGAGTGATCAGGAGACGGATAGTGAGGAAGAGACAGAGGAAGATGAACGCAAGCAGACTGGTAGAAAAAGGACAAAGCGCCATCGAAAGAAGGGCACTCGAAGTAAACAAAGAGGAGACAGTGAGGACAGTTGTATTGACCAAGACCAGAGAACCATCCAGACACCTCCTGGAACTATAAGAGGGGCGCTACTCAATGTTTGTTCACTGGAAAAGAAACGAGACCCTGAAAAAAAAAAAAAAGATCTTAAAGCTCATACCAAAAAACAACCTGGACCTCTTTCTCACAACAGAGACGTTGTTACGAGAAGACAATGCAGACTCAGTCCTCAGGGAGGTTTCACCACCGAATTACACTACAGATTATCAGGTGAGGGTTGGTCAAAGGGGAGGAGGGGTAGCAATTCAGTTCTCACCAGGGCTGCAGGGTGAAAACCTTCCTTTTGACTCATTCGAAACCTTTGAATGTGTTGTCACAGTTCTGCATCATGATGAGTGGAACCAGCCGGTCCCTGTCATCAATGTGTATCACCCACCGGGGTACAACAGGGACCAGTTCCGTACATTTCTGGATGAGTTTGAAACGCTCTTGGCTCATTTCAACAACTACAACAGCATCATTGTGACTGGAGATTTCAATATCTGGGTCGATCAGGAAAGGAGGTCTTTCACTGATGAGTTTTATCATATTTGGCCGATCTACAACCTCGAGCAGCATGTACGGGAGCCAACACACCGGGCAGGTCACACTCTGGATCTCGTCCTCACCAGAAATGTTGAAATCTCTGATCTTGTTGTCCGAGATGATGGAATATCAGATCATTACACCGTATATTTCAATGCAAAGCCAGTGTCAAAGGAGAGTCAGGAGAAAACTAAAGAAAACAAGGATCAAGACGAGCAGCCAAAACGATTGAAAAAGAGCGAAGAATAGAAAATGTTTCAGTATTTTTACACTTCTGACCTGAAAATATTGCATTCAGTTGGTTTCAAAAAGTAGCTGAGTAAGTGTGACAAGATAGATAAAAATGTCTCATTCTAAGGTAACAAAAACACAACAATTCTTATTTTCAGCTGATTATACACTAATAAAAACATACCTATGAATATTATATTCTATTTCTGACAATAGATCTCTAAGTGCCTTAATTTGGTATTTATTAGTTCTCTGCACTAATAATCGTATGGATGCGTAATCAGCCGTTTGCTAGCTAATTGATGCCATTGGCCATATTGTGGAGGATGTGTAGTTGATGCCTTATTGTTGTACATTACTGATTGTAAACTACCTGGTCTGGATAAACTTATATGGTTGATATGGATTTGCTACACATCTGTACATCAGTTAGATTCTCCACAGTTGAATCCTTCACTTCATTTTATATAAACTAATCAAATCATCAAATCTGTGATCGGTGATTGATAATGTTGTTGAATACAAGTGGTTCTATTTGTTTTGTATTATAACACCATATGTGAGTCTAATGGAAATGTGATGTAGCCTGTGAGTGTAAGGAACGTAACAACTTGTAATATAGATTGTACTAATTATGGTCATTTATCTTTCTTCCACTTTTCTACGATCAATAAATAACCAAAATGAACATTTGTCTGGAGTGCTTTCTGAGCGATGCCCCCTGGTGGCCACAACAATAATAAACCAGTCAAATCAAACAGTCAAAATCAAACCTTCATTGATTCAAATCTAGAGTTAAAAAGCACCAAGTTCTAAACAGTGGATGGTAAACAGTCAGTGTATGACAGCTTCTGATTATAGATTATTGATTGAATTCAATTCAATTCAATTTTATTTGTATAGCACCAATTCATAACAGAAGTTATCTCAGGACACTTTTCAAACAGAGCAGGTCTAGACCGAACTCTTTAAAACATTATTTACAGAGACCCAACAGTACCACCATGAGCAAGACCTTGGAGACAAGGGCAAGGAAACACTGCCTGTTAAAAGGCAGAAACCTAGGACAGATCCTCCGGCTCTAGGTGGGTGGTCGTCTGTCTCGACCAGTTGGGGTGAGAGAGGAGAGAGAGAGAGAGAGAGAGAGAGAGAGAGAGAGGCAGAGACAGAGACAGAGACAGAGACAGAGACAGAGACAGAGACAGACAGACAGACAGACAGACAGGTGCACAGCAACAACAGTATTGGCAATGGCAATCTAGCAGGACCATGGCAGGAGGCTCCACCAGGATCGACAAGACCCTGCGAGACGAGAAAGCACAAGAACTCCGGGGAAGAAGTGAAGTTAGTAACATGCATTAATGGAACATGAATGAGTGCAGAAAGAGAGAGGAAGAGAGGAGCTCAGTGCACCATGGGAAATCCCCCGATGGTCTAGGCCTATAGCAGCATAACTAAGGGATGGTTCAGGACTCACCTGATCCAGCCCTAACTATAAGCTTTATCAAAGAGGAATGTCTTAAGCCTACTCTTGAATGTGGTGAGGGTGTCTGCCTCCCGAACCACAACTGGAAGCTGGTTCCACAGGAGAGGAGCTTGGTAACTGAAGGCTCTGGCTCCTGTTCTACTTTTAGAGACTATAGGAACCACAAGTAGCCCAGCATTCAGAGAACGTAGTGTTCTAGAGGGGTAATAGGGTACTATGAGCTCTTTAAGATATGAAGGGGCCTGACCATGAAGAGCTTTATAGGTGAGGAGGAGAATCAACTCCATATAGAACATGGCTCTAGAGTTTATACACTGTTTAATGATTATAGATTACAGATTATAGATTCAACGTTCTCATTCTAAGCAAACCAAATACTGTTCTCAAATTAAAGTTTCTTTGCTAACATGCAGACAGCGACTCGCTGCTGAATATTTATCAGTTAATTTTGTGAATCCACATGAACTCTTCACATCAACATCAAATAGATCCACTGCACAGCACTTATGTTCTGGCTATAGAGCCATGAGTCCTGATGCTGTGCTCCTCCAGGCCCTGCCGTCCCTCTGCAGCCAGTAGTAGTGCGGGGCTGTCCCCAATCATTAATCAGGGCTGGGTGTCGATAATCTGGGAACAGAGTTACAGCTGCTGTGTGTCGGTGTGTCTGTGTGAATAGAGCTGTGTTAAACATTAAACTGAAAGCGGTACTCCTCCCTGCTAGAGGGATTGTTCGATTGCTTCATTGAGTTTGTTAAAGTACTTACAAATATGTAGTTACACAGGATCGGCTTCTCCTTGGGCTTTCCTCCTTGTTCTATTCAGTTTCTGTTGATTGCTAATAAAAAATCCTTGTTTGTATTGAAGTAAACTTTTCTTGGTTCTTTCCTGCAGGGTACATTATTTATGTGTTACTCCCCATTATCACTGGTCATCTCATTATCTCTTTCTTCCAAGACAGCGGCAAACACTAAGAGGAAATGTAGAAGTTGAGTTCTCATTAAAACTAAATTTTGACTGGGATGTTAACTGTACGTCAAATGAATTAGAGCATAGATTGGATTCACTGTGTATATCTATACAGTGTGTGTGTGTGTGTGTGTGTATGTGTGTGTGTGTATTCACAGGAGGTTATGCTAGCTGTTGCTAACCCTCTACTTAGTATGTTTGTATTGTGGTGCAGTGGTTCAGACTTTAGATGCTGTAGAAGCAATCTTTACCTTGATCCCACACTGACACACACACATACCAAGAGTTAGCGTCTCTGACACTTTGCATCTGTATTGGTAGATCTTTTGAAGTAATAGTGAATATATACACCACCGTTCAAAAGTTTGGGGTCACCCAGACAATTTCATGTTTTCCATGAAAACTCACACTTTAAGTCATCAAATGAGTTGCAAAATGAATAGAAAATATAGTCAAGACATTGACGAGGTTAGAAATAATGATTTTTATTTGAAATAATAATTTTGTCCTTCAAACTTTGCTTTCGTCAAAGAATCCTCCAATTGCAGCAATTACAGCCTTGCAGACCTTTGGCATCCTAGCTGTCAATTTGTTGACGTAATCTGAAGAAATTTCGCCCCACGCTTCCTGAAGCACCTCCCACAAGTTGGATTGGCTTGATGGGCACTTCTTACGTACCATACGGTCAAGCTGCTCCCACAACAGCTCAATAGGGTTGAGATCTGGTGACTGCGCTGGCCACTCCATTACAGACAGAATACCAGCTGACTGCTTCTTCCCTAAGTAGTTCTTGCATAGTTTGGAGGTGTGCTTTGGGTCATTGTCCTTTTGTAGGAGGAAATTGGCTCCAATCAAGCGCTGTCCACAGGGTATGGCATGGTGTTGCAAAATGGAGTGATAGCCTTCCTTTTTTAAAAATCCCTTTTACCTTGTACAAATCTTCCACTTTACCAGCACCAAAGCAGCCCCAGACCATCACATTACCTCCACCATGCTTGACAGATGGCGTCAGGCACTCCTCCAGCATCTGTTCACTTGTTCTGCGTCTCATAAATTCTTCTGTGTGATCCAAACACCTCAAACTTAGATTCGTCTGTCCATAACACTTTTTTCCAATCTTCCTTTGTCCAATGTCTGTGTTCTTTTGCCCATCTCTTAACCTTTTCCTTTTATTGGCCAGTCTCAGATATGGCTTTTTCTTTGCCACTCTGCCTAGAAGGCCAGCATCCTGGAGTCGCCTCTTCACTGTGGACGTTGAGACTGGCATTTTGCGGGTTACATTTAATGAAGCTGCCAGTTGAGGACCTGTGAGGCATCTATTTCTCAAACTAGAGACTCTAATGTACTTGTCCTCTTGCTTAGTTGTGCACCGGGGCTTCCCACTTCTCTTTCTATTCTGGTTAGAGCCCGTTTGTGCTGTTCTCTGAAGGGAGTAGTACACACCGTTGTAGGAAATCTTCAGTGTCTTGGCAATTTCTCGCATGGAATAGCCTTCATTTCTCAGAACAAGAATAGACTGTCGAGTTTCAGAAGAAAATTCTCTTTTTCGGGCCATTTTGAGAGTATACTCGAACCCACAAATGCTGATGCCCCAGATACTCAACTAGCTCAAAGGAAGACCAGTTTTATAGCTTCTCTAATCAGCACAACAGTTTTCAGCTGTGCTAACATAATTGCACAAGGGTTTTGTAATCATCAATTAGCCTTTTAACATGATTAGCTAACACAATGTACCATTAGAACACAGGAGTGATGGTTGCTGGAAATGGGCCTCTGTACACCTATGTAGATATTCCATTAAAAATCAGCCGTTTCCAGCTAGATTAGTCATTTACCACATTAACAATGTCTAGACTGTATTTCTGATTAATTTAATGTTATCTTCATTGAAAAAAAACAGTGCTTTTCTTTCAAAAATAAGGACATTTCTAAGTGACCCCAAACTTTTGAACGGTAGTGTATATATATCCTTATATATACTCTACTTTGGTGAATAACGTTAGCTCAGCTGCAGCTAATTAGTTTCTATAGCAACCACACAAGGCTGCATCTTTGAACTGTAGCATAAAAACGTCTTAACAATTCGTTTAGTTCTTCGGTGCTGCAGGTGTCCGGGTCAGTTGTCACTGTCAGTCTATCCTCTGGTAGCTCTTCCACTTCAATTCAATTCAATTCAATTCAATTCAATTCAATTCAATTTTATTTGTATAGCACCAATTCATAACAGAAGTTATCTCAGGACACTTTTCAAATAGAGCAGGTCTAGACCGAACTCCTTAAAACATTATCTACAGAGACCCAACATTATTATTGTTATTTTTGTCATGACTGTAATTATTGTTATTACTGTTATTATTGTTATTACTGTTATTATTGTTATTACTGTTATTATTGTTATTATTGTTATTACTGTTATTATTGTTATTATTGTTATTACTGTTATTATTGTCATGACTGTAATTATTGTTATTATTGTTATTATTATTGTTATTATTGTTATTATTGTTATTATTATTGTTATTATTGTTATTATTATTATTATTATTGTTATTACAGTTATTGTTATTATTATTGTTATTATTGTTATTATTATTGTTATTATTGTTATTACAGTTATTATTATTGTTATTACAGTTATTATTGTTATTACAGTTATTATTGTTATTATTGTTATTATTATTGTTATTATTGTTATTATTATTGTTATTATTGTTATTATTATTATTATTGTTATTATTGTTATTATTATTGTTATTATTGTTATTATTGTTATTATTATTGTTATTATTGTTATTATTGTTATTATTATTGTTATTATTATTGTTATTACTGTTATTACTGTTATTATTGTCATGACTGTAATTATTGTTATTATTGTTATTATTATTGTTATTATTGTTATTATTATTGTTATTATTGTTATTATTATTGTTATTATTGTTATTATTGTTATTACAGTTATTGTTATTATTATTGTTATTATTGTTATTATTATTGTTATTATTGTTACAGCAGACAGAGACCAGCTGCACGTCCTCGCAGTCAGCTGGTCACGTCCCCCCCCCGCTGGATGAAACAATCTCAGTCTGCAGCAGAGCGGCTAACAGCTAACAGCTAACAGCTAACAGCGGAGAGTTGAACACATGAACGGACCGATGAAGGGATGAGTTCACCCTCAGAGAGCCGGTGACGCTCACAGGTAGGATCTGTCTCACCTGTCTGTCTGTCTGTCTCACCTGTCTGTCTGTCTGTCTGTCTGTCTGTCTGTCTGCCTGTCTGTCTGCCTGTCTGTCTGTCTGTCTGTCGGTGATGCTGCACAGACCTCCTGCTAACACACAGCTAGCTAACAGCTAGCTCTCCGGCTAGCTCAGTAGCTAATAACTGTGGTTTGAAGCCAACAGCCGGGCTGTGTCTGTGTGTCTGTCCGGACAGACGCTGCTGCTGCTGTTGTTGTTGTTGTTGTTGTTGTTGTTGTTGTTGCTGTTGCTGTTGTTGTTGTTGTTGTTTACATCTGGAGAAAAGCGGGAGAAGCTAACGTGTTAGCTTAGCGGGCCTGTTGGTGCTGATGATGCTAGCTAGCGGCTAACAGAGCTAGCCTTCTGACGATGCAGAGAAACAGAATAAAAGAGTCCGGATCCTGAACCGAACCGAACCGGCTGTAACAGAACCTCCAGAGTCTGAACGGGCTGTAACAGAACCTCCAGAGTCTGAACCGAACCCGCTGTAACAGAACCTCCAGAGTCTGAACCGGCTGTAACAGAACCTCCAGAGTCTGAACCCGCTGTAACAGAACCTCCAGAGTCTGAACCGAACCCGCTGTAACAGAACCTCCAGAGTCTGAACCGAACCGGCTGTAACAGAACCTCCAGAGTCTGAACCGCTGACGAACCTCCCTGACCGGCTGTAACAGAACCTCCAGAGTCTGAAACGAACCCAGCTGTAACAGAACCTCCAGAGTCTGAACCGAACCGGCTGTAACAGAACCTCCAGAGTCTGAACCGAACCGGCTGTAACAGAACCTCCAGAGTCTGAACCGGCTGTAACAGAACCTCCAGAGTCTGAACCGAACCCGGCTGTAACAGAACCTCCAGAGTCTGAACCGAACCGGCTGTAACAGAACCTCCAGAGTCTGAACCGCTGTAACAGAACCGTCTGAACCCGGCTGTAACAGAACCTCCAGAGTCTGAACCGGCTGTAACAGAACCTCCAGAGTCTGAACCCGCTGTAACAGAACCTCCAGAGTCTGAACCCGCTGTAACAGAACCTCCAGAGTCTGAACCGAACCGGCTGTAACAGAACCTCCAGAGTCTGAACCGAACCGGCTGTAACAGAACCTCCAGAGTCTGAACCGGCTGTAACAGAACCTCCAGAGTCTGAACCGAACCGGCTGTAACAGAACCTCCAGAGTCTGAACCCACTGTAACAGAACCTCCAGAGTCTGAACCGGCTGTAACAGAACCTCCAGAGTCTGAACCGGCTGTAACAGAACCTCCAGAGTCTGAACCGAACCCGGCTGTAACAGAACCTCCAGAGTCTGCTTGTTGAACCTGTCTAAGTGAGCAGGTTCTGGGTCCAGACCCGGTCTGCTGTGCTCTGGATGGTGAAGTAAAGCAGGTACATTGAATCTTCTGTGGACTGGAGCGAGACTAATACAGAACCGGTCTCACAGACCTGAGACCAGTTTCAGCTGAAGATATAATGCACCTTTATTATTGATCTGTGTATATAATGCACCTTTATTATTGATCTGTGTATATAATGCAGCTTTATTATTGATCTGTGTATATAATGCAGCTTTATTATTGATCTGTGTATATAATGCACCTTTATTATTGATCTGTGTATATAATGCACCTTTATTATTGATCTGTGTATATAATGCACCTTTATTATTGATCTGTGTATATAATGCAGCTTTATTATTGATCTGTGTATATAATAATGCACCTTTATTATTGATCTGTGTATATAATGCACCTTTATTATTGATCTGTGTATATAATGCAGCTTTATTATTGATCTGTGTATATAATAATGCACCTTTATTATTGATCTGTGTCAGTGTGCTTTAACTGTTAATTACAGTATTTCTTTTGATTCACAGAAGCTTTGATATAAAAGTGTTATAATGAAGTTCTGCCTATAATAGAAGTCCTGCATATAATAATATTATGATATCAATATTAATGTATAATATCTGTGTATACATTATATCTGTTCAGTCATCATATTATATATACATATTATTATTATTATATTATTATAAATATGATTAATATTATATACTGTTATTAACACTACCATCATGTCATCAGTACTATTACCACCATCTTGCACCTATTTATCTTTTTTTATCTTTTCTATCTCAGTATTTTATTCTGTTGTATTTTTATTGTAGGTTAATGTACCTGGCTGCTATGACGACCCAATTTCCCTTTGGGGATTAATAAAGTCTATCTATCTATTTATCTATTGTTCTTCAGATTGAAGAAATCGTGTTTCAATCAATCGATTAATCAAACTTTACTCGTACAGCAGATTAACACAGTTTAGTGCTTCACAGACGATAATGAGACAGAACGGATTCAAAAGGAAATAAAGTGGATTTATAAAGATACAAATGACAATAATATACAATACAATCGATTTTACAGGTATAACAACAATATTTAATAAAATATACAAACAGTAAGAAGGATAAAATAGATTTATATTGTCAGGAACTACTTTTAGATTTCTAAAGCAGTTTTTAAGTGTTCAGGTTGTGATCGGACTGTTTGTGTGTTTCAGGGTGATCACATTGTAACAGCAGCAGGATGCCCATCCCTCCCCCTCCTCCCCCACCACCAGGGGGACCCCCGCCTCCCCCCACCTTCAGCCAGGTAACTAAACATACATCATCATCATCATCATCATCATCATCATCAATCTCAGGTGATGAAGAGCTGGAGAAAATAACCTCATCAGTTTGTTTTAGTTTAGGAACTGAAATAATGAGTGGACGAATTGATTGACAGGAACTATTCTGATAATCGATCAATCAAACATTCTCAGTCAGGATGTTTACGATGTCTTAAAGGTTTTATACATTCGCTGCCACTAGAGCTCCAGCAACAGGACACCAAAGCACCAGACTCCATTCACCAAACCAGAGATTTTATCCCGCAGATAATCTTCAAACAAATGAACGTAAGCTAACTAGAACTAACTGTCTGGGACGAATGCGTTGTTAAAGTCCATCCACTGACAGACTCAGGTTGTTATTGTCAGTGTCTGACAGCATTATGGAAAGGATCCCTACAGAGATAGACCTTTAGTTTAACCACAAACAGCCGTAATATCACTATCACTCTCCACCAGACTCCAGAGACACAAACACTCATTTTACCTTCAGATCATCGTAACTTCATTAAAGTGGACAGAAACAGAATCAAACTCATTAAAAGCGTCTCTGTTAGTGTTTCCAACAATCACCAACTCTGGTTTGGTGGAAATAAATCCTTAATTCACCGACGTAGATGATAAAAACAGCAGTTTCAGTCGGAGCAGACCGGCTAACAGGTAATCTGATGGATCATTTTCAGGGTTTTTTGACATTTAGTAGAACAAAGAATTAATTAGTGAATCAATGAAATAATCAGCAGATTAGTTTGTAATGAAAACAGTTATTTGTTTTTTTGACTCCGGTGGATAAAAAAATAAATTCTCCAAGTCTGTAAACTTTAGCCTGTTAGCATTGTTAGCAGCAGTGAGCTGTGTGGACACTGCAGCAGTTAAAGCTGAGAACCAGTTTGGATCCATAAACTCACCCCCACCCTCTTCCCTCCCCCTTCACCCCCCCAGGCCAACACCAGCCCTCCCAAGCTGAGCAGAGACGAGGCTAAAGGCCGCGGCGCTCTGCTGTCCGACATCTGCAAAGGCACCCGGCTGAAGAAGGTGGCGGTGGTGAACGACCGCAGCGCTCCGCTGCTCGACAGTAAGAGCCAAACACCAAAGAGCCAAACACCCCCCACAGATCACCCATACATTCGCTTATACCAATACCTACACCAGCAACAGAGCCAGCCTCAACAGCAGGGGGCGCCGTCCGAGGAGCAGCAGAGGACGGCCGCAGATAAGAGCTCCGCTCTGTCGCTAGAGAGTAAGACAACAAACATTGTGTGATGTTAGAGGACGACGCAGCAGGTTTCAGCCAGCCGCCACGATTCCTGTCCAACCGTCCAATCAGCTGTTAGTACCAGAATCCAGACCCAATATCACACTACCAGACTCATTGTTAATTACTCTTTAAATACTTCTTACTTATTGTACTAGTTTACTACTTTTTCCTTTTCCCCTCATCATTGATTAAACAGAAACAACGTGAAGTGTGTTAGTTGGCTAATGTTAGCTTGTTTGCTTGCTAACGGTTAATGGCTAACGATAGCCTCCCCAGCTAATGTGTCAACAATTACAATAACACAAAAAGTGATGTAGTGGTACAAAGCTAAGGATTGTAGCTAACAATTTAGCTTCATTAGGTAACTAGCAATTTGTCCGTGTTAGCCGGCAAGCTAACGTTAGCTAACGTTAGCTTTGGCTGTGGACTTTCTTCAGTTTCAGTTTTTGTTTTTCTGCGACTGCAGTGACGTAACCGCTCACTCCAGTGTGGTTATTAGCTCCTCCGGTGCTGCTACGGCTCTACGTTAGAGTCCCATTAACCCTCAGTGGGTTTCTGAAGCTGAGTAACATCACACATATTGATCACATTGATCACATTGATCATATTGATCTGCCACATTTTTATCAGAACAGATTCTGAATCATTTTTCTGTTCATGTTTTCCTGTTTTTCTTCTGTCCCTCCTCGTCTGTTACTATTGTTTGTGTCGTGACTTTTACTTTGACAGTAATGATTTTAAACTCTGTTTTGACTTTTATTTCCTTTTTTACTGATCTTTGAAGAATTGGAGATAATAAAAGTAGTTTGGATGTCTGGATATGAAATGTTTCCGTGCTCACACAGCACCGCAGCGTTCCTGTAACGGGTTCAGATCCCACATGGAGCTGTTGTGTGCTGATGGACAGGTGACGGCTGGTTAGAACGGATCCTGCAGCGTCCTGCAGCGTCCGCAGAGCGCCTGCAGCGTCCTGCAGCGTCCGCAGAGCGCCTGCAGCGTCCCTGCAGTGTCCTGCAGTGTCCGCAGAGCGCCTGCAGCGTCCTGCAGCGTCCGCAGTGTCCTGCAGTGTCCGCAGAGCGCTGCAGCGTCCCGCAGAGCGCCTGCAGCATCCTGCAGCGTCCGCAGAGCGCCTGCAGCGTCCGCAGAGCGCCTGCAGCATCCTGCAGCGTCCGCAGAGCGCCTGCAGCGTCCCGCAGAGCGCCTGCAGCATCCTGCAGCGTCCCGCAGAGCGCCTGCAGCGTCCTGCAGAGCGCCTGCAGCGTCCCGCAGAGCGCCTGCAGCGTCCGCAGAGCGCCTGCAGCATCCTGCAGCGTCCTGCAGAGCGCCTGCAGCGTCCGCAGAGCGCTGCAGTGTCCGCAGAGCTGCAGCGTCCGCAGAGCGCCTGCAGCATCCTGCAGCGTCCTGCAGCGTCCGCAGAGCGCCTGCAGCGTCCTGCAGAGCGCCTGCAGGACTGATGATGCTTGAAGATGTCTGCTGTCCACAGTAATGTCACAGAGTTTAACTTCAGAGTTCAACAGAAATATAAAACCACAGTTTACATGTTGGAACTGTTTGTTGTTGAACTGCAGAAATAAAGCCTCAATAATTTCCTTTAATAATTATCTCTTGAGCACTTTATGTATTGATTAGACATTTGAAGTGTAGCTTACAGGTAGGAAGTTGACGAGGTGCTGCCCTCTGGTGGTTAACAAACTTAACTTCAGGCAATCAGTGGATGGATACACTGTTGTTCAACAAGAAATAGTTCCACTTCCAAACTGTTTATTTATCAAACCAACCAGTCTGAACCAGTGTGTTCCCAGTCTGGAGTAAAACACTGTCAGTCCTCCACAGTAGTGTTAGCATGCTAGCTAGCTGTAAACTGTTATCATGAAGGTTCTGGCAGCGGCTGCTAACGTGGCTGTGCTAAGCTAACTGATGAGCAGCTTTAAGGCTTACACCTGCTTCCTGTTTTCCTGCAGTGGAGGAGTGTAACACCTGACTGGGCGGCAGGCATCTTGTATTATTCCACAGAGAGGACGTAGTTCTGATTTATTCCAACTCTGGTCTCACTCTGGTCTCATTCTGGTCTCATTCTGGTCTCACTCTGGTCTCACTCTGGTCTCACTCTGGTCTCATTCTGGTCTCACTCTGGTCTCACTCTGGTCTCACTCTGGTCTCACTCTGGTCTCACTCTGGTCTCCCTCTGGTCTCGCTCTGGTCTCGCTCTGGTCTCCCTCTGGTCTCCCTCTGGTCTCCCTCTGGTCTCGCTCTGGTCTCATTCTGGTCTCGCTCTGGTCTCGCTCTGGTCTCATTCTGGTCTCACTCTGGTCTCACTCTGGTCTCATTCTGGTCTCACTCTGGTCTCACTCTGGTCTCATTCTGGTCTCATTCTGGTCTCACTCTGGTCTCACTCTGGTCTCACTCTGGTCTCATTCTGGTCTCTGTGTTAGCAGCATTAAATACAGCCACTGCACCTGATAAACAACCGAAGTCGGAGTAGAATTGGTACAGAAGTGATTAATGTTATTAATCAATATAAGTCAAACAGTCCAATAAGAGCCATGTTGGAATAAACCAGAATTGTCTGTTAGAGGCTCCTACAGGTGTTTTCATCAGACCTCTGCTCAGGTGTGAGGTGGGTGGAGCCTCAGAGTCCAGGGAGGAGGTCTGATGAAGCACCTGTGAGGAGCTTTAAGTTCATTTTCTTCTGACAGACTCGGAGTTCAGACACAAGTTTGTTATTTAACAAAGAGACAACTCTACTGTTCTTTCAATAAAGGAAACGAGTGGGAATCCTGTTTATTACATAAAGTTCCATTAATATCGACCTGGATAAACCCCAGAACAAGGTCCTAAAGAGAGGCGCCACTTCTTTCTTCTTCTCCTTTTACACACTGTAATTCCTCAAAGGGCCCGGGTCCAGGCTTTTATAACGTCTCTTTGTTTTCTGATCGGCTCCCTATTACATTTTATTCTGTTTATACAAACTCAATACTTCCTGTATTTTCAAATTAAAAAAAGCCCTCTATTGTTTCAGTGACTCTCGGAATCTCTTCATTTTCTAATGATGCTTTTATTGTGAAACATTTGCAAATTTGTGAAACGTGTTGTAGAAAATTCCCATACAGACAATAATATTTAACAAAGTGTTGATTATATTGTTGAATTGATTCAATTAAAAGGATTGAAATATAGAATTTATCCATCCTAGTTTATTTCTCCACACAGAGCTAGCTTACGGCTAACTGCGTATGTGTTGCGAGCTAGCTTACGGCTAACGTCTGTGCAGTCGCTCTGTTTGTCTTCCTGTCTGAACCCGTCAGAAGAAAATGTGTTTGAGGTTTATTTTGAAAGTCTGCAGCTGTGATTTTAATGTTTTCGACTGTTTGTTTGTCACTCATGTTGTGCGGTCGGCGATGTCATCGGAGCCGCGTGGGAGCGTAAACACTTCATTCAATTTTATCGCCTCACTTCACTTCACTTCCCCTCACTTCACCTCACTTCACCTCACTTCACCTCACTTCACCTCACTTCACCTCACTTCACCTCACTTCACTTGACCTCACTTCACCTCACCTCACTTCACCTCACTTCACTTCACCTCACTTCACCTCACTTCACTTCACTTCACCTCACTTCACTTCACTTCACCTCACCTCACCTCACTTCCCCTCACCTCACTTCACCTCACCTCACTTCACTTCACCTCACTTCACCTCACTTCACTTGACCTCACTTCACCTCACCTCACCTCACTTCACTTGACCTCACTTCACTTCACCTCACTTCACTTCACCTCACCTCACCTCACCTCACTTCACCTCACTTCACCTCACTTCACTTCACTTCACCTCACTTCACTTCACTTCACCTCACCTCACCTCACTTCACTTCACCTCACTTCACTTCACCTCACCTCACTTCACTTCATCTCACTTCACTTCACTTCACCTCACTTCACCTCACTTCACTTCACCTCACTTCACTTCACCTCACTTCATCTCACTTCACTTCACCTCACCTCACTTCACCTCACCTCACTTCACCTCACTTCACTTCACCTCACTTCACCTCACTTCACCTCACTTCACTTCACTTCACCTCACTTCACCTCACTTCACCTCACTTCACTTCATCTCACTTCACTTCACCTCACCTCACCTCACTTCACTTCACCTCACCTCACTTCACTTCATCTCACTTCACTTCACCTCACCTCACCTCACTTCACTTCATCTCACTTCACTTCACCTCACTTCACCTCACCTCACCTCACTTCACTTCACCTCACTTCACCTCACCTCACCTCACCTCACTTCACCTCACCTCACCTCACTTCACTTCACCTCACCTCACTTCACCTCACTTCACTTCACCTCACCTCACTTCACTTCACCTCACTTCACCTCACCTCACTTCACCTCACTTCACTTCATCTCACTTCACTTCACCACCTCACTTCACCTCACCTCACCTCACCTCACTTCACCTCACCTCACTTCACCCCTTCACTTCACCTCACTCACTTCACTTCACCTCACTTCACTTCACTTCACCTCACCTCACCTCACTTCACTTCATCTCACTTCACTTCACCTCACCCACTTCACTTCACCCTCCTTCACTTCCCACCTCACCTCACTCACTTCCTCACTCTCACCTCACCTCACTCACTTCACCTCACTTCCTTCACCTCACTTCACCTCACTTCACTTCACTTCACCTCACTTCATCTCACTTCACTTCACTTCACCTCACCTCACTTCACCTCACCTCACTTCACCTCACTTCACTTCACCTCACTTCACCTCACTTCACCTCACTTCACTTCACTTCACCTCACTTCACCTCACTTCACCTCACCTCACCTCACTTCACTTCACCTCACTTCACTTCACCTCACCTCACCTCACTTCACTTCACCTCACTTCACTTCACCTCACTTCACCTCACCTCACTTCACTTCACTTCACCTCACTTCACCTCACCTCACCTCACTTCACCTCACTTCACCTCACTTCACCTCACTTCACCTCACTTCACTTCACTTCACCTCACTTCACCTCACTTCACTTCACTTCACCTCACCTCAGTGTTTGACATAGTGACCTGATCTCACCTGCATCCTCCTCGTCCTCGCCGTCACACACTCATTCATACAGTCAGTGATGTCATCGTAGTGTCATCGTAGTGTCATCGTAGTGTCGGTGTAGTGTAGTGACATCACGCCCTGAGGAGGCCAAGTCCACGCTCACCTGTCCAATGGTTGTGGTCCTCAGAGCCTAAAGGAGGCGGAGCAGCCGGGGGAGCCAATGGCAGCACAGCAGGAAGTCCGTCAGGTTCTGTTCCACCAATCGGAGGGCTGTTCACGGGCGGAGTTCCTAAACTGAGGCCGGTCGGAGGTCAGGGTCTTATTATATTATATTATATTATATTATATATTATATTAATATTTTCTTCTCTTTATAGTTTTTACAACTTTTTCCAACGTATTTGTATTTATTTATACTTTTATTTTCTAATATTTCCTTTATACGTATTTCTTTGATTATTTATAGATATATTTATTTTTTATTGTATATTTATTGAACTTTTGCATTTTGTTGATTAGAAATAAATATTTAGTTTTTAGTTTTTTATTTGTAGATTTTCAGTTTGATCATTTATTAATTGTATTGATTATTGATTATTGCAGACGGTTCGTCTGGACGTTCTCCCTCCACTCGAGCCGCGGCGCCCCGCCCACCCAGCCATCGTCATGACGACACAGACAGCCCCTCCCCTCAGGCGCTGTCGCCAATGGAGACGTCACGTTCCCAGCGTCCCTCTCTGCCCAACCTGTCCTCCTCTCCCTCCCCTTCCTCCCCCTCCTCTGCAGCCTCCTCCCCCTCCACCAGCATGAAGCACTCCTCCTCCGCGCCCCCTCCCCCTCCGCCTCTCTGTCGCCGTGGTAACGCCCCCTCCCCTCCCTCCTCCTCCTCCTTGTACAACAGAGAAAAGCCCCTCCCCCCCGACCCCTAACAACACCCCGCCCCTCCCCTCCAAACCGCCCCCGTCTCCTGGCAACAGCAGACGCCCCCCACCTCAGGAGGAAACCCCACCTCCTCCTCCTCTCTGGCCCCGCCCCCTCCACCTTACCGCATCACCAACGGTCCGACAGGCAGCGGCGGTGAAGCGGCGCCTGATCTGCCGCAGCGTCACAACTCCCTCAGCAACAAGAGGACCGCCCCCTCACCGGGAGGCCACACCCCCACAAGAGGCCACGCCCCTCCTCCACCTCCCGCCTCCCCCACCCCCTCCCAACAGGGCGCCAACAGGCCGCCGCCCCCCATCAGAGAGACGCCAGTTAGAGGAGCAGGTGAGTGCTCAACACGCACACACAGACAGTATTGATCAGCTGTTATTGATCAGCTGTTATTGATCACCTGTATTGATCTCTCTCCTCAGCTCCTCCCATTCCGGTTCAGCCATCGAGGGCGGGTGGCAGAGAAGCCCCGCCCCCTCCTCCTTACAGGACACATGGTAGCCCCTCCCTCACCTCTGACCCCCCCGCCAGAGGGAAACCTCCTCCCCCGCCCACCCGCACCCCCGCTGCTCCTCCCCCGCCTCCCCCTCCTCTCCGTAACGGACACTCCTCCTCTTCCTCCATCCCTCGTTCATTTGTTGGTGAGTCCGTCCTCCCGCCCTGAAACCAATATGAGGCGTTCGTTTACCCGACTGTTTCATTTCAATATGGCCGCTGTGAAAAAGGTCTTACAGCGTGTTAACCTTCATCAGTCTCTTCTCTCTGACCTCTGACCTTTCCTTTATCATGTTTGTTTTTTGGAAAACGAGTGAATGTGTTTATTAAAATAACTTCTTCTACTACTTTTAATATCGTCTTCTTCTTCTGCAGATGATTTTGAGTCCAAGTATTCGTTTCATCCTCTGGACGACTTCCCTCCCCCGGATGAGTACCGACACTTCGCCAAGATCTACCCCAGCAAGGCCAACAGAGGTACTACAATAATGTTACAGTATTATTACTGTAATATTACTGTAACATTACTACAGTAATACTACAGTAATATTACAGTAGTATTATTACTGTATTATTATTACTGTAATAATAATACAGTAATAATACTACTGTAATATTACTGTAATAATAATAATAATACTACAGTAATGTTACAGTAATATTACAGTAATAATACTGTAACTTACAGTAGTATTATTACTGTATTATTATTACTGTAATAATAATAATAATACTACAGTAATGTTACAGTAATATTACTGTAATATTACTGTAATAATAATAATAATACTACAGTAATGTTACAGTAATATTACTGTAATAATATTATTACTGTAATATTATTATTATAGTGTTCCTGCTGAAAAGTTTGTATTTTTACAAACTTTATTATCTTTGTACAAAACACAACTTGTTTTTCTGATGAGTTGTTTTGTTTGTTTGTTTGTTTGTTTGTTGTAGTGATAAGAGGAGCTCCTCCACTGCCTCCTGTGGGGAGGTGAACCACAAAAACTACATCACAGCTGGACCACACACACACACACACACACACACACACACACACACACTCACTCTCTCACACTCTCACACACTCTGACACTCACACACACTCACACACACACACACACACACTCACACACACACACACACACACACACTCACACCCTTCTCACACCACACACACACACCTCCCACACACACACACACACACACACACTCTCACACACTCTGACACTCACACACACTCACACACACACACACACACACTCACACACACTCACACACACACACACACACACACTCACACACACACACACACACACACACACTCACCCCTCTCTCACACACACACACACACACACACCCCTCTCACACACACACACACACACACACACTCTCTCTCTCACACTCTCACACACTCTGACACACACACACACACTCACACACACACACACTCACACTCACACACACACACACACACACACACACACACACACACACACTCTCTCTCTCTCACACTCTCACGCACACACCTCCATCCTGTTTGATGACATCACGTTCAGCTTTGTCATCCATCACCGCCTCCATCTACGCTCGCAGCTGATTGGCTGAGGAGAGGTGCGATCATGTGACCGAGTCTTCGGAGTGAAGCTGCTGATGAAGAGGAGCCGACCCTCTGCGACCTTTGACCTCAACTAACTTTAGCTTCTTCTTTGACCTCCTTTAGTTCTTCTGGGGTTTGTTTGCACTTTAAATTAGATTGACCAACCAGCAGGTCTGTCTGCAGGTCTGTCTGACTGCAGGTCTAGGTCTGTCTGCAGGTCTGTCTGACTGCAGGTCTGTCTGACTGCAGGTCTGTCTGTCTGCAGGTCTGTCTGTCTGCAGGTCTGACTGCAGGTCTGTCTGCAGGTCTGTCTGTCTGCAGGTCTGTCTGCAGGTCTGTCTGCAGGTCTGACTGCAGGTCTGTCTGCAGGTCTGTCTGCAGGTCTGTCTGCAGATCCAGGTCTGTCTGCAGGTCTGTCTGCAGGTCTGTCTGCAGGTCTAACTGCAGGTCTGTCAATCAGGTCTGACTGCAGGTCTGTCTGAATCAGTAACTGCAGGTCTGTCTGCAGGTCCATTGTTGCGGTTGACTGCGGTCTGTTCGGTTGTTGGGTCTGACTGGGTCCTGAAGGTCTGTGGAGGTTAATGACACATGAAGAAGAACAAACATTACAGGATGTTTGTGAGGTGAAGCTGGATTATGAACATGAGCCCTCTTCTGATTAGAGGACGTTAACTCTGGTCCCGAACTGTTTGCTCTGTGTGACCACTGCAGAGTTCAGCTGATTTATAACAGGAGAGGACGAGTTGAGACATTTTCAACCCATAAATGTGGTTATAATCAGTTTCTTTGATCACATCATCGGAGGAAATAACCTTTTCTTTTATATTTGGAACATTTCCACTCGTCTAACATTTAAATTATATTAAATGTTTTAAATTACAAAAGTCTAAAGAAATAACAAGTTTCCCCCTGATTCTAGCCTTCATGCTAAGCTAGGCTAACTGCATCCTGACTCCGGCTCTGCACTTAAAGGTTTCCTGTCGAGTTTTGACCTCTGGAGTCATCACGGAGCCCGATAACGCTCGCTATTAAAGGCACAGAAGAAGAAAATTTTAACTTTTTTTTTTTTCTGCATGAATTGAAAATCTGACTTAAAAACATTTGTTCAGAAACAAACTCTCAGAAAGAGAAAGACTGTCCCTTTAATTCAGAGGTCCTGATAAACCAGGAAGACAAACTTACTCTGATCTCTGATCCAGAGAAACTGTTTACAGCCGGACGACGTCTGAAAACCTGTAAATACTTCATCATCATCATCATCATCATCATCATCATCATCATCAGCCACACCTGTCCTTGTGATGTCAGGGATGTGACGCGCTTTATTTTGGCGGGCCATGACCCGACGTGACCTCCGACACAGCTCCGCGGAGGTCGAGTCTTTAAGTGCCAAGATGGACAAAATGAACTCACCTGAACTCACCTGACTCCTCCTGCTGCAGGCCGCTCGGCGGGTCGTACCACGGTGGTGTGATGTGGGGGGGGGGTGAAGGGACAGACAATCACAGTCAAACAGGAAGTCTTCCGCCTGCAGCAAGGACTCTTCTATGCCTCCTTCCTTTCTTTCTTCCTCTAACTACAAACTGAACTTGTTGCATGCCGTCTTTATTTGAGCGTTTTGTGTTTCGTCAGCATGACGCTTCCAGTTTCTACTCGCAGGGTTACGTAATTACCCATAATTCAACGTGTTTTTATTGAACAGCTTCATAACTTTATGAGGACAAAGTTTCAGTTATTGAAAATAAAGTCATCTTGTGAGTTAAAGACTCATGAAAGAAAGTTGTAATTTAACAAGTAAAAAGTCTTTCAGAATAAAATGACAATATTAGAAAGTTATGGAATAAAATTAACAAACGTCGTGAAGATACAAAATAAAGTCACAAATTTGATGAATCGTACAATAAAATTCAATATCATGAGAACATTTGATTTTAATCACTGAAGTAAAACAATATGAGAATAAAGTTGTATTTACAATGAAGTAATCACAATACATTATTGTAGGTTATTACTATTATAGTAATTTTGAAATGTCATAATGTGTCAAAATAAGTTGTAATGTTTCACCAAAAAGTCACAATTTAATTATTATAGTTATAATTTTAAAAGCTAAAGTTGTAATATGGGAATTAAAGACGTGTTTTAATATTTTAAGAATCTTTTTGTGTTTTCTCATAAAATTACAACTTTATTCTTTTTACTTTAATGACTTTATTTTCATGATATAGGAACAAATAACAACTTTATTCTCAAAATTAGACGGGTTTATTCTCAGAATCACATTTCACGAGAAAAATAAAGCCATAAAAACTGAGAAAAAGTGACAATATTAATCAGTATTACAGGTTTTATTATTGTTTATTTTACAAGAAAGACTTGGAATTAATGTATTATTGTAATAGAAATAATAAGACGTCATCTGCATAAAACTTTTTTCTTTTTATTGCAACTTCATCTCAAAATATTATGATTTTTATTCTAAAAATACGTCTTAATTTGATTAAGTTTATAAATGTTTTTCTACAAACATGATTTTCGTGATATTGAGACTTTTACTAAAATTCAAATTACAACTTTATTCTCGTGATATTGACTTGTTTTAAATCTTAATTCAGTCGTATAATCGTCGCTACGTGTCTTAATAAGTCTGAAGAAGATTCAATGATTCATTAATTATTAATTTCCTGTCTCAGTGCCACATGACCACAGTTTCTAATCATTTCCTGTTTTTCTCATTTTGGCCAAATGTTTTCATGTTTATTGATTAAAAAAAAATGATTCCAGGTTAAAAACAATAAATATCAGCTTTGTGACGTCGCAGCTGATTAATGTTATTGATTATTTTCTGATCTTCAGTCGCAGTTAAAGATGTTTCATCTCTGCTGTCAGATCATAAAACTACGACTTTATCCAGGTTCTTTCATCATGTTTGTTTGTTTGTTTGTTGAGTTAATGAAAATGTGAGGACCAAGTAAACAACACAAAATACACAAAAACCAATATGAAAGTTAACATTCAGGAATAAAAGGTATTAAAATACGTACAGAAAAGATTTACAGCTTTTTAAAAGTTACATTTTTGAATATTTAGTGGAAAACGTTTTGTTTGTATGTACTTTTCTTCCATTATAGATTAATGTATTGGTAACCATCTCAGTATTATAACTCTTGTCACACAACTTTATTCTCATTAAGTTGTGACTTTTTGTTGTGACTTTTTCTCCGCATCATATTATTTTATATTCAATGTGACACCAGAGCACATTTTTATTTATTTTGAAGACGCCGTTAACGTCTCACCAGACTCCATTCTAAAATCTGCTGATTTAATGTTCTGTTACAAGTGGGGAAACGATGTGTCTTAGAGCAAAATATAACAACTGCTATTAATCTTCAGTTATTTCTGGTCAGTCTGGCTCCTTTGTCTTCGTTCACCACCAGACTCTGTTTAAAAATCTGCTAATTTTATGTTTTTAGCTTCAACTTTGCAGAAATGACCTTTCCAGTAAATGTTTGAAGTCCAGAGAAGAAGTGTAGCTCTTCTTCCTCTCCAGGATTTCACGCTGCAGTTGCACATGTGCAGTAGAGGTAACGACGCATTTTTAACTGCGACAGGAAGTCCTGCCCCCCCCCCACCCTCGCTCGTCTGTTTGCCTTACAAACTGTTTGCTGTGAATCTTGTTCAACGTAAATTGTAAAGAAGCTTCTAAAAGGAACAGAAACATGTTAATAAATGTTAATAAAGTGACTTATTTCCTGTGCTGGAGGACCGACTCTAACTGTAGTGATGATAGTAGCTTTAGACTCAAACTGGGACTGATGGTTGGATCCCAGTTTAACAGCATGCTCTCTCTCTTACTGCTCTCTGTATTTTAACTGCAGCCGTCTGAAATAAACTCCTCTCGTCACTTTCTGACTCGGTGTATTTGTTCACATTGAAGTCCTTTCATTCACTGATCAATACTATCTGATTAAAACACAAAGAGTGAAAATCAATAATTAGAGATATAAGTGTAGAAATAAAGTGTGACACATCTACAATAAATAAATATAATAATTATTCGCTATTTCAATAATAACTTCTTGAACTATGAAATAAATTGATTATTAAATCAATAAAATAAATTAAAATAAACTTGCTGCATTACTGTCGGTGGCCACCAGGGGGTGGGCTGTTATTCTTCCGGGTTCAGAGGTCAGCCTTCCGGAAGCAGAAGAAGAAGAAAACAGTGTGGTCCACATGGGAAACTTTAGCTGCTGATTGTAGAAACAAACACTGACTATCTCTGCGCCGAACCTTAAATCAGCACTTTTCTGTGAGGAGTTTGGTTCTGTTGGCGGAACATGGAGGAGGTGAACGTCATCAAGCTGCCGCCGACGGAGGAGAAAGCAGCGGGAAAGAAAAGGACTCGAGCCCCGAAGTTTAACCCCGAGCAAGAGGCTAAAATACGGCGGACTAACGTGAAGAGGCTGTCGGTGCTGGGAGAGGAGGACACCTCGGTGAAGCTGCTGGAGGAGCTGGTGTTCGGAGCCGAGGACGAGCTGGTGGAGAGACTCGTGGAGGTAACGTCTCCCACCAGACTCCATTCAAAAATCTGCTCATTTAATGTTTTCTCTCGTGGTTAAAGTAGCTGTGCAAAATGTGATAAATCCTAAAAACCTCCAGTTATTTCTGTTGAATCCGACTCCATTCAACAATCAGCTCGTTTTAAGTTCTCCTGGTTGTTATATTAATATATTAATCCTAATACTTTCACTATATTCGGTCCATTCCAGGGTTCATTAAACATTTAACTGATTATCTGTCTCTTTAAGTTCTCACTGTTGAGTTACTTCAGTTCACCAGTGATCTACAAACATCTGATTACGGTGTCAAACTATACTTTTCTAGTTGGTTTTAATATGTATTTTATTGTAAATGTGTGAAACATTAAAGTGAAACTAGTCCTGAGTTTGTGAGACAGTTAATATTTCGGGATGTTCTACCAGCAGCTTGTAATAAACAAAGGAAGATTAAATTTAACACTTTTTGAATGAAGTTTTGTGAGAAAAACAGATTTCTGCCAGTAAAATAAAACAATTTCATATTAAATTCAGATTTTATTATTATCCATTTTAAGTTTTCATCTTTTTATTTTACTGGCACTAATAAGCTTCCATACTCTCCTTTTAACAAACCTGCGTTACCTGTCGGCTCGCTGTGACATCACTTCCTGTTGTTGAGCAGGAGGATGACGAGCCGACCGGAGCTCTGCTGGCGGAGGACGAGGACGAAGAGTCGGCTGAGTCGGAGGACGAAGCTCGCCTGGCTCTCCGGCCGACCCGAGCGGCCGCCTGGGTGGACGAGGATGACGAGCTGGAGGAAGAGTGAGTGCACCTGAACCTCTGATTGGTCCTCGCCTGTTCTCACCTGCAGCTAACGCTCAGGTGTGTCTGTGTGTGTGTGTGTGTGTGTGTGTGTGTGTGTGTGTGTGTGTGTGTGTGTGTGTGTGTGTGTGTTTGTTTCAGGGTGGACATGAAGCATCGTTACCGTAGAGACCTGATCAGAGGAGAGGCGGAGTCGACCATGACCAAACAGAAACTACAGCAGAGGATGAGAGAGCAGTGAGTACACACACATTATATACACACATTATATATACACACACACACACACACACACATTATAACACACACACACACACATTATATACACACACACACACACACACACACATTATATACACACACACACACACACACACACACACACACACACACATTATATACACACACACACACACACACACACACACACACACACACACACATTATATATACACACACACACACACACACATTATATACACACACACACACACACACACACACATTATATACACACACACACACACACACACACACATTATATACACACACACATACACACACACACACACTATATACACACACACACACATTATATACACACACACACACATTATATACACACACACACACATTATATACACACACACACACACACACACATTATATACACACACACACACACACACACACATTATATACACACACACACACACACACACACATTATATACACACACACACACACACACACACACACATTATATACACACACACACACACACACACACACACACACATTATATACACACACACACACACACACACACACACATTATATACACACACACACACACACACACACTCTGAATGTGTGTGTGTGTTTCAGGTTTCAGAGGTCGATGGGAGGAGCTCCGTCGTGGGCGGAGAGCAAGAAGAAGAAGAAGAAAAAAGGTAGAAATGTTTCTAATATATAAAAAAAGAGAACAGGTGAAAGGAATTGTGGGTAAAAGTGTTTGTGTTCCTTAAGATGAAGATGATGAAGATGATGAAGATGATGAAGATGACGACCTGCTGAGGAGGACAGGGAACTTCGTGGCGTCCTCAGACAGTCTGCCCAGCGGCATCCTGAGGGTCAGTCTCCTCTTGTTTGTTTGTTTGTTTGTTTGTTTGTTTGTTTGTTTGTTTCTGATCACGTGATCAATCACTTCCTGTCGTCTCAGATGAAGAAATGTCTTCACGCGAACGCCGCCCGTCCATCAGAGGACCGACTGACCACCGTCCAGTTCCACCCGTCCGCTCAGGTCGTCATGACCGCCGGCCTCGACCAATCGGTGTCTCTCTTCCAGGTACAGCCGATCGGCGCTCTCTGACCTCAGACTGCAGAGCGGGAAAGATCATGTGACTTAACTCCCCCCCCCGCAGGTGGACGGGAAGACGAACCCGAAGATCCAGAGCATCCACCTGGAGCGGTTCCCGGTCCACAGAGCTCAGTTCAGCCGGGACGGGGAGACGGTGATCGCCACCAGCCTGAAGAACAAAATGTTCTACCTGTACGACATGATGGAGGGCCGGGTCACACCTGTCCACTCGGTCAGAGGTCAGTCAGAGGTCAAAGGTCACAGGACAGAACAGAGGTTTTATTCTGTTTCTGTCCACTTTAATGAAGTTCTGATGATCTGAAGGTAAAATGAGTGTTTGTGTCTCTGGAGTCTGGTGGAGAGTGATAGTGATATTACGGCTGTTTGTGGTTAAACTAAAGGTCTATCTCTGTAGGGATCCTTTCCATAATGCTGTCAGACACTGACAATAACAACCTGAGTCTGTCAGTGGCAGAAACATCTACTTTATAGTGGAACAAACAACAACTACTGTTAGTGGAACAAACAACAACTACTGTTAGTGGAACAAACAACAACTACTGTTAGTGGAAAAACAAAACTACTGTTAGTGGAACAAACAACAACTACTGTTAGTGGAACAAACAACAACTACTGTGAAAGAAAATGTTAGTGGAACAAACAACAACACTGTTAGTGAACAAACAACAACTACTGTTAGTGGAACAAACAACAACTACTGTTAGTGGAACAAACAATTACTACTGTTAGTGGAACAAAAAAAAACAACTTTTATGGAACAAACAACAGACTACTGTTAGTGGAACAAACAACTACTGTTAGTGGAACAAACAACAACTACTGTTAGTGGAACAAACAACGACTACTGTTAGTGGAACAAACAACATACTGTTAGTGGAACAAACAACAGACTACTCTTAGTGGAAATCAGTTTTAATCTGTTTGTGGAACAAACAACAACTAAAACTGTCAACCATTGGGATTGTCGGAAAAACAAAAAAAAAACTAATTTTTTTATTTTTTTTTTTGCTGCCGTTCATTATCTGTTTGGAGTGAATGCATCGTATATAAAAGCTTTTATGTATTGATCTTCTCCTCCTCTTCCTCAGTGTCAGTAATTAGTTAGTGATGTTTTTAGCTCAGCTGTTCTCATGGTGTCTGTCTGTCTGTCTGTCTGTCTGTCTGTCTGTCTGTAGGTCTGAATGAAGCCAGGGTGAAGGAGTTCTCTGTGTGTCCTGAAGGAGGCGCTCTGCTGCTCACAGGAACCAACGGATACCTGCACCTCCTCACGCTCAAGGTAACTCCTCCCCCTCCTCTGAGATATCGTCCATACAGCTGATTATTGATGCTAACTGTCCAACATATGTAGCTTAGCATCAGTCAGTGTAACAACAGCTGGTTCACAGACTGTAACTTAGATTAGCACCCGACTGCTAGCTTAGCTTGCTCAGTGGGCGTCAGACACTTGTGTGCAATGCATCCTGGTACATGTAGGCACTGCGTGGTCGGCTCCAGCTACATCGTTAGCTACCTGGCTACAGTCTGTAGTTCTACCTCGACACCAACGACATCACTGTGTGTGTGTGTGTGTGTGTGTGTGTGTGTGTGTGTGTGTGTGTGTGTGTGTGTGTGTGTGTGTGTGTGTGTGTGTGTGTGTGTGTGTGTGCGTGCGTGCGTGCGTGCGTGCGTGCGTGCGTGCGTGCGTGCGTGCGTGCGTGCGTGCGTGCGTGCGTGCGTGCGTGCGTGCGTGCGTGCGTGCGTGCGTGCGTGCGTGCGTGCGTGCGTGCGTGCGTGCGTGCGTGCGTGCGTGCGTGCGTGCGTGCGTGCGTGCGTGCGTGCGTGCGTGCGTGCTCGTGCGTGCGGCGTCGTGCGTGCGTGCGTGCGTGCGTGCGTGCGTGCGTGCGTGCGTGCGTGCGTGCGTGCGTGCGTGTGTAAATGTGTGTGTGTGCAGACGAAGGAGGTGGTTCGCAGTTTGAAGATAAACGGTGATGTCAGCGGCGTCGCTTTCTCTCGTGACGGCAGTAAAGTCTTCGCCAACTCAGGTGAGTCCACGATGTTCAGAGAATGTGTGACATCACATATCCACTTCCTGTTGGTCATGTGATCAACGTGTGTGTGTGTGTGTGTGTGTGTGTGTGTGTGTGTGTGTGTGCAGAGGACGGGGAGGTGTATGTGTGGGACATGCGCAGCAGTCGCTGTGTGAACAGGTTCACAGACGAAGGCTGCGTGACGGGAACGTCCATCGCCGCCTCGCCCAACGGACAGTTCCTCGCCTGCGGGTAAGACACGCCCACACACAGCGCCCTGCTCTCTGATTGGCTGAGACGGAGCATTGGACCTGTTGTATTGATCTGTTTCAGCTCTCAGTCGGGCGTGGTCAACGTCTACTCCCAGGAGGCGTGTCTTAATTCAGCCAATCCCAGGCCTCTGAGAGCAGTGATGAACCTGCTGACCTCAGCGACCTCTCTGGCCTTTAACCCCTCGTCTGAGATCCTCGCCATCGCTTCCCGGGCCGAGGACGAGGCCGTACGGCTGGTACGATGAAGATGAAGATGATGGTGATGGTGGTGATGGTGATGAAGATGAAGGTTGGATAAACCGTGTACTTCCTGTCCCTCAGGTCCACCTCTCCAGTCTGTCCGTGTTCTCCAACTTTCCCGTCTCGAAGAAGAAGATTGTTTATCGAGCGAGCTGCGTCGACTTCTCTCCACACAGCGGCTTCTTCTCATTGGCTAACAACAAAGGACACGCCCCCCTCTTCAGGTGAGGCAGCCAATCGGCTCCACTGTGACCGACAGGTGTTTTATTTCTTTGATCCAATATGGAAACATTAACAGACTGTGAACAGGGGGACCGCTCTGAGGGACGGACAGGAAACAGATTTCAGAATAAAGTTTCACTGAATATATTTAAATTGTTAATAATGATGATAATAATAATAATAATAATTATAATAATTATAATTAAAGATTCTTGTTTGATTGACTACAGAGACAAACGTCCATCTTAACCCTGTCTGTCTGTCTGTCTGTCTGTGTTCAGGTTACTGCATTATAAAGACTTCTGAAGGAACTCTGAAGCACCAGGACTCGGACCAGGACTCGGACCAGGACTCGGACCCGTCTGTTGTATTTTATTGTGGAGCAGCAGAGAGGATGATGGGAAACCAGATAATTTAGCGTCTGTTTTTATTTTCTGTGCAGTGATTGTATAAAAGATCTAAAACAGTTCAACTGTTTCTGTCTGTGTGTTTCACAAAGAACAGGAGGAAACCGTTAGCTTAGCATCAATCAAATTAATTACATTATACTGCTAAACCATCAGGACCTAGCTGCTAACTATAAACATTTATAATTTTACTTTATTTCATTTAATCAGGAATATTTTTTATTGATGCAATAAACTTTTATTTATTTCAAAACAAAAATGTGTAAAAGAAGAAAATATATTTTTTTTTCTTTTACAGCTGATTGAGTCAACTGAAACTGATTGAACTGAAACATTTTAGGTCAAATTAACTAAACTTTGTAAATTAATCAGGAAGCTTTAGACACAAATCTAGTTTTTTCTTTATTTGTTCTGTGAAAATAAAAACTTAACTTACTGATTATTTAATCAGGAATCTTTCTGTAACTTAAGTTTGTTACTTACAATGTTTCAACATTTGATTTAACTAACTATACTAAGTGTTTATTGTTTAGGTAACTTAAATCAATTCAGTTAATTTAACTTTAAGATATTTGTATTTAAATAACTATTAGACATTTTATTATTATTATTATTTTGGCTACAACGAGCTTCCGTACAGTGAAAGAGGTGGTTGATGGATCAACCAATCATATTGCAGGAAGAGAAACCGTCAAACAGGATTCACCAGATCTTTCTCACACACACACACACACACACACACACACAGTAACACACACACACACACAGTAACACACTAACACACTAACACACACACGCCTGTGCTGCAGGAATGTCCTCGGTCCTGTCTGTCCTCCTGTCTGTCGTCTATATAATAATAATAACTTCTGATTATTATTGCTAATAATATTATATTATATGTATTATAACATTAATATACTCAAATGTAATATAAAATATACCCACAATGCAACATAAAGTATTTTACTGTTTATTTTAAGTTTCACTAACAGAAGAATAAATTTAAGTTTGTTTTCTTTTATCGTATATTTGTGTTTTATTTATATTTTTACTTGAGGTAATTTAATAATATAAACACTGAATTACAGACGTGTGATCAAATTAAAATACATATTTCTTTATTTTAAACGTCTTCAGTCACAATAAAGATAAAATTAAAACTTTTTGAAATTTAATTTTCTGATTATTTTATGTCTTTCAGTTGTTTGTGTTTGTCTTTTAATCCATTAAAGTCCGATCAATCGATATAAACACAGTGAGCGTAACAGAAACTCTCCTCGTTCCAAACTCACCTGGCGGCTTTCTCCACCTGCCGTCACTCCTGACTGAGTCTCCGCCCACTGATGACCTCACAGACTGACAGGAACCAGAGTTTCAGGATTTGGGACAGAAACAAGTCGACGCTCAGAGAGAAAGGTAAGAAACTTCTGCGTCCGGAAGCTTTTAGATAAAATACTTTAAAAACCTGAAACCTGAAACATCTCGCTGATGTTTAAAATCCTTCATCAGCGACGTTTCGATGAGATTCTCGTTGTTTCTGTCCGTTGTTGCTTCGTCGTGATGATGTTTGTTGTTTTTATTTGTGCTGTTTGATCCTACAGTGAGATGTTAGCCTAGCTTAGCATACAGTGCTCTGTACACTCTAAAAACAAACGTTTTGCATCAACCTCTCTCAGTTGTGACTTCTAATGAAATTATGTTCAATCAATGTTCTGTGTCGAGTTTTTAAAGAGAAGAGAGAATTTAAAGAGTTTTAAGTTCATTAAACTCTTCGTAACTTGTTCCAACTAGTTTGTCCACGTCGTTTCAACACAACTCATCAGCATAATGTTTGTAACTTAACAGGTTTATTTAGTTTGAAATACTTTTAGAGTAAAACCAGATCAATTAACTCATTAAAATGTTAAAACTGATTAAATAAAAAAAGTAACCCTAACTCAATTTTATTATTTCTACAATTAAAATAACTATTGTAATAATAATAATTTAAAGAGACTAACCAGTAATACACAGTAACAGCAATGTTTCTGTAACTTAAATAAAAAGCTTCTAAATAAAAAATTTTTTTGAACTTTGTGTTACTTAAACTGTTTAAACTATTATTTTTTAATATAAACTAACTTATATTATTACAGTGTTTTAATATTTAATGTAGAGAAAAAAGTTAGTTCAACTCAAACTGTTTATTAAAGGAAACAATTTAAGCTTAAAAAATATTAGATTTAAGTAACTTAAGTATTTGTTGTTTAGGTAACTTAAATAAATTAAGTGAATTGAACTTTTTTTAAAAGACCAGTGTGTAAGATTTAGTGCCATCTAGTGGTGAAGTTGCAGCTCATTTTTCTTCCACTAAAGCAAATAATTAGATTACAGCTGATGGCATATAATTAATGTAATAATTACAAATTAATAAAATAATTACTGCTGTAACCTGATTAACATCCAAACTTAAAATGTACAGAAGTGTCTGATTCTATTAGAACAGTAAAACATATATTAATAATATTAAATGAGAGTTCACAGGATACAAACCACTGCTTTAATATCGGATTATAATGTTTTTATTTACAATATTCATCCAAAAGTCTCCATTAAAAAAATAAAAGTACAATATTTAAGTATAAAGTTACTTAGTTAAGTATTAGTTCCTTTCTACCACTTTGGTTGGTTCTTTGCACCAATTTAAAGGTTTGAAATATTTTCATCTTTTGTCCTAAAAAATGTGGTTTTAAACCAGTTTTATTGTCGTTTTCCAGCTTCGAGCAAACAGCTCTCTTCTGTTTCTGTGATTAAACCTCCAACATCTCTAATATGTGTCAATCTGCTGTGTGTGTGTGTGTGTGTGTGTGTGTGTGTGTGTGTGTGTGTTACAAACATTATCGTCACCATCAGTTTATGGTTCCTGTTCCACATATTTTGCATATTTTCCTGCTCTGATAAAACGCTTGAACTTTCAGTCGGAAGCAGAGCGACGCTTCACTTTACTGTTTAATGCTTTTATTCAAGTTTACTGATTATTATTCTTTAAACGGAGGCGTATGAATGCTACATGCTAACCACAGCTAGCAGTGTGCTCAGGTGCCGTCGTCATGGTGACGGCAGATCAATGTAGGTGTGTCAGTAGTAAAGGTAAAAGTACATAACGAGGATATCAGATATTATTAATGTATTATATCAGATAAAAACATCATTAGACTTTATCACAATAACAGCAGTTACAGTAAAACATTGTTTTACAGCATTCAGACGTATTTTCATCTAAAACTGTTTTTTAAGGTAAAATATGGAATAAAAATCAACAGTACTAATATTGTTTACTGTACTAGTATAAAAAGTTCTACCTTATTTATTATTATAAATTCTGTTTATCCAGTGTTTTACTGTAAATGTATCTTTATATAAACTGCATTTGAAAGGAAATTATATTCAATAAAGTCGTTTTTTAAATTGCAAACAAACAAACAAAGTTTCAGACGTATTTTCATTTAAACTATAAAGAGTCTCTCCAGACACTTTAATCTCACATTCATTCAAACATTAAATTATTAAATTTAAATAATTGAAAATAATAAAAATGCTGCAGACAACCTGTTGGTCACATGATGTTTTTCTAGAACAGTGACACTGAACGCACCTCACATACAGGTGACACACAGGCTCCGCCCCCTCCCTCTTCCTGCTCACACCTGTTCAGAACCAACAGGTAATGATCAGCCTCAGAAACACAGAGAGGAAACTGCAGACGGGTAGAGAACTGTCTGTGTGTCCACCTGTCTGTCTGTGCAGTGACTCACCTGTGTGCTGTTGTTTTTGGTTGCGAGCTGCTGTTGGTGTGTTGGAGTTCAGCTGTGAGCAGGAATGTAGTTGGACCTGGTTCCTGTGTGAGAGGTGTGGAGGTCTTTAGCTAACAGTTAGCACAGCAGTGCTAACACTGTCGTCCTCTGAGTGACGTTTCCTGTCTCGTGTCCTCCCGCAGTACGATGATGGCGGAGGCAGCGGCTCCAGATCTGTTCTCTGAGCAGGAACTAACCTGCTCCATCTGTCTGGATCTGTTCGATGAACCCGTCTCAACTCCCTGTGGACACAACTTCTGCCAGGTAACACACCTGAGTCCCATCCTGAAGCTCACTGTAGCTAACAGCTAACAGCGCCACCAGTGGTCGTTCATTAAACTGTAGCTAACAGCGCCACCAGTGGTCGTTCAGTGAACTGTAGCTAACAGCGCCACCAGTGGTCGTTCATTAAACTGTAGCTAACAGCGCCACCAGTGGTCTAGGCAGTGAACTGTAGCTACAGCGCCACCAGTGGTCGTTCATTAAACTGTAGCTAACAGCTAACAGCGCCACCAGTGGTCGTTCATTAAACTGTAGCTAACAGCTAACAGCGCCACCGTGGTCGTTCTTAAACTGTAGCTAACAGCGCCACCAGTGGTCGTTCAGTGAACTGTAGCTAACAGCGCCACCAGTGGTCGTTCATTAAACTGTAGCTAACAGCGCCACCAGTGGTCGTTCAGTGAACTGTAGCTAACAGCGCCACCAGTGGTCGTTCATTACTGTAGTAACAGCTAACAGCGCCACCAGTGGTCGTTCAGTGAACTGTAGCTAACAGCGCCACCAGTGGTCGTTCATTAAACTGTAGCTAACAGCGCCACCAGTGGTCGTTCATTAAACTGTAACTAACAGCCACCGTGGCCGTTCAGTGAACTGTAGCTAACAGCGCCACCAGTGGTCGTTCATTAAACTGTAGCTAACAGCGCCACCAGTGGTCGTTCATTAAACTGTAGCTAACAGCGCCACCAGTGGTCGTTCATTAAACTGTAGCTAACAGCGCCACCAGTGGTCGTTCATTAAACTGTAACTAACAGCGCCACCAGTGGTCGTTCAGTGAACTGCATCCTGGGCGTCGGCCAACAGAGACAAACACTGAACGCTGTAAAATAACTGACGATCATATTTAGAATAACGTTACTATCTGCAATGTTCCTATATTTTATTAGGACCATTAGCTCCATGCTACTAACTAGCTCGCCATTTACAAACCACCCATCAGCCAACACCACGAAGCAACCGACACCAGACCCACAATGCAACACCAAGACACAGCCTGACAACCCCAGTTAGCTTAGCTACAATTAGCTAGCTGGATGCTCCTGGCTCGTAGAAAGCTATCGTTAGCTTTGTACCGCTACATCCTTTATTGTTGGCTAACATCAGAATACATAAGTTAGCATCATAGATCAGGTTAGCTAGGGAAGCTAACTGAAGCTAACTGAAGCTAACTGACACAGAACAGGATTCAGACTTCAGAACCTTTAATATTTAGTAATACAGAGTTCAGATCGATCAATATATTTCTTCAGATTTCTTGAAGCATCATTAATGTCTGACCCTCCTTCTTCTTCTGCTGTTTCTTTGCAGGCGTGTATTGGCGGTTACTGGGCGTCGAGTCCCGTCTGTACGTGTCCTCTCTGTAAACGTGAGTTCGATGAACGTCCTCAGCTCAGCGTCAACAAAGTCTTCGCTCTCATCGCAGACAAATACAAACTGGCTCGTTACGGAGCCGCAGGGTTACCGATGCCGGTCAGGAACGGGACGTCGGCGCTGGAGGGCGCCATGACGCCCAACGCCGGCAGCACCAACCCGTTCCTGGCGGTGTGCGGTGAGGAGGTGGTGTGGTGTGACGTCTGTACAGGTGTTAAACAGCCCGCTATCAGCTCCTGTCTCACCTGCACCGCCGCATACTGCACTGAGCATGTGCAGCCACATAAGACCTCACCTTTCTACGCCAAACACCCACTGATGGAACCCCAGGAGGCCCTCAAGGGCCGCACATGCTCACTACACCACCGCCTGCTGGAGGTGAGGGGAACTACAGACTTATTTTATGTTTGCACGGTTTGATCAATATTGATTTATGATTGATCACAAACTAATGTCTCCAGATGTACTCTGCAAACAGGAAGTGCTAATAAGTAATTCAGCATTTAAATTATTTCTGAGTATGTTTCAAACAATACATTGCACGTGGTGTCCCACAGGGTTCAGTACTCGGCCCACTACTTTTCTAACTTCTAATGCTTCCACTACATTATACAACATCACAAAGTAAAGGAGGAAGAAACTGAAGTTATTGATTCTAAAAGAGACCAAATCCTAACTGATGTGTTCACTTGTCCAGGTGTACTGTCGGACATGTCAGCGCTGTATCTGTGCCATTTGTGTCCTGGAGGAACATCGAACACACAAAACCGTCTCCGTCCAAACGGAGAGACTCTACAAACAGGTAGAGAGCAACAGACACTCTTATTATTACTTATTGTAGTTTACTGATTAATTTACTAATTAAACCGACTCACCTGTGTTCACCTGCAGAAACAGGTAGCGAGGACGGAGCAGGAGATCCTGAACCGGATCAAAGAGAAAGAGATTCGTGTGACTTCGCTGAAGAAGAGACTGGACGGAGTCAAAGTCAGACATCTTGTTTATTTATTAGATATTTTATAAACCATTATCAACATGGCCGCCACTGCTCCGAACTATAAATATTATATTTAATTACAGTTACACACTGGACCTTTAAACCATTTCTATATTTGACCAGCTAGTTAAACATTCTTACATAACTTTAAACTGTTTGTACTATTTATCCATTAACAGACATCCCAAAATATTTCACTTTAATATTAAATTTAATAATCGTTGATGTTGTGATTTATTCTCAGAACCACGCGGACGGCGAGCGAGGCGAGGTGGAACGCCTCCTGGACGAAGTGTCCAGCTCGCTGGACAGGATCCGGTCTCAGGTGGTGGGCGGGATCGAGAACCAGCTGGAGGCCGTGATGTCAAAGGGGGAGGGGCTAGTGAGCCGTCTGGAGGCGGAGCTTAGCCAGCTAAAGGATGCGAGGGCCACGCTGGAGGTCCAGGCCATCAGTCAGGATCACATCGGCTTCCTGCAGGTGAGAGCTGAACAGTTCTTTACCTCCATGTCTTCTACGTGAATCCTCCCTCGTCCTCACCCCTCTCCCCCCCTCAGAGTTACGAGGAGGCCACAGCTCCTCTGGCTGAGGACCAGCAGGACGAGGTGGACGAGGACGAGGAGTTCTCGCTCCACTTCCAGTTGGGGGACGTGAAGAGCGCTCTGACCGAGGTGAAGGACAAGATGGAGGACATCAGGATGGGGGAAGTTCGCTCCCGAGGCTCCCGAGGCTCGTGTGAGTCGCAGCCGCTCAGTTCAGTTTGGAAGAAACTAAACCGAAAAAACTCTAAATGTGAATCTGCACAACACCAAACAAACACCACACACACACACACACACACACACACACAGTGACGTATCGGAAACGTTGGGTGACCTCTGACCTCTGCGGTGTGTTTCAGTCTCATCTGGGGATCTGATGATGGCAGAGAGCATGCTCAGTCTGAGAGGAAGCACCGCCAGTCTGAGGAAGAGTCAGTGGTCTCTGCGAGGTCAGTGACTCCTATATCTGCACCTGTCTCATCACTCTGACTTTTATTGTGAAAGAATGACCGTGGTTTCCTGTCTCCCTGCAGATCTAAAGAAGATCAAACCGGTCTCAGGTATTAATCAATAATTAATCAATAAATAATGATTATTATTAATGTTAATGAACAGCAGCTGTTAAATAAATGTGTTTGTTCTGTCACAGGACACAAGAAGGCCCGAGTCTACATGGGTAAGAACTTCGCTCTTATTATTTATTTATTTTTTATTTATTTAATTAAATCTACTTTTATTATTATTTAAGATTAGAACTTTTGTTTCATTCTAATATTTGAATTTATCTAAAAAAAAAAGCTCTTTTTATTTAACATAGAATGCTAACATGCACATTTTATATACTGTGAATGTTATAATACTTATTAATTATTATTATTATTATTATTATTTAGTCCAGCTTTATTTATTGCAAAGATCAGCTGTGGTTTGAGTCTAACAGTGAGATGTCCTAAAAAGGCCACCGTACCGCCGATGCTACAGCGTCACTGTGGTAAAGATTTGTGAAGTTTTCGTGTGTGTGACGACCGTGTTGTTAATGTCTCGTTGTCGTTGTGGCGTCCAGAGGACGTGACGTTGAACCCGGTGACGGCGTATCCCTTCCTGATCCTGTCTGAGGACAGGAAGCAGGTGAAGCGAGGAGAGAAGCTGCAGTTCTACAGAAACAGTCCGCAACGCTTCGACGTCTGGTCCTGCGTCAGCGCTAAAGAGGGCTTCAGCGCCGGGCGCCACTACTGGGAGGTCAGAGCCAGAACATACACAGTCCTGATCTAGGATCCAGTGTCACACTTATTAAACTGCTGTGTTCACCTGCAGGTGTCCGTCGGGGAGAACAAGGACTGGAAGCTGGGCGTGGTCAGTGAGTCGGCTCAGAGGAAAGGTCTGTTCGACATGAGTCCTTCTAACGGATACTACGCCATCTGGTGGAGTGGCAGCCATCTGCGGGCGCTCACTGTGCCGCCTCTCACCAAGGTCCAAACTCTTTATATTAAATAATACATACAGTTAAAAGGCTTCTGTCTCTTTATATCAGTGTACATTTGGTATGGAAGCCCACTGCTGACAACATAAGAAAATAAAAGATTAAAAGTTACAAATCATAAAAAAAAAAAAACAGGAATAAAAAATTAAATTCTTTCCAAAGTAACGAGATATAAAGTCGGTTTTGGTTTCTGATCATTTTGACAAAGTAAAAGTTTTGACTCAATCAATTAATATCTTTTTTTTTCTCCATTTATTTTTATTATTCACAACGCTGTTGTATAATTTCCTGGCATTAACAAGCTTCCATACAACCTGAATAAATGTGTTTCTGTGGGCCGTGCAGGTGAAGACTCCTCAGAAGCTGCGTCAGGTGGGCGTGTTCCTGGACATGGACGAGGGTCAGGTGTCCTTCTACAACGTGAAGTCGGGCTCGGAGATCTACAGCTTCACCAGATCCTCCGAGTTCACCGAGAGGATGTTTCCTCTGCTGGGGACCGGAGACAAAGAGGTCCCCCTGGTCCTCATGACCACCCAGCACCACCTCGCCTGAGGGGACCGGACCGAGCCACAATGACGCAGACAGAACCTGGGAGAAAGGGGGAGGTAATAAATGGGGGAGGGAGCACTGGGACATTAACGCTGGTTGGCGGCCATGTTGGAAGCTCAGAAACTGAATCCTCTGATAGAGATCGGTGTCACCATGGTAACACAATATATCTATAGTTTCTTGCTATAAAAAGTTCCTAATTGTTCTAAGATAACAAGATCCTCCTCTGTCCCAACAAGATCCTCCTCTGTGTCCCAACAAGATCCTCTTCTGTGTCCCAACAAGATCCTCCTCTGTGTCCCAACAAGATCCTCCTCTGTGTCCCAACAAGATCCTCTTCTCTGTCCCAACAAGATCCTCTTCTGTGTCCCAACAAGATCCTCTTCTGTCCCAACAAGATCCTCTTCTGTGTCCCAACAAGATCCTCCTCTGTGTCCCAACAAGATCCTCCTCTGTGTCCCAACAAGATCCTCCTCTGTGTCCCAACAAGATCCTCCTCTGTGTCCCAACAAGATCCTCCTCTGTGTCCCATCAAGATCCTCTTCTGTGTCCCATCAAGATCCTCTTCTGTGTCCCATCAAGATCCTCCTCTGTGTCCCAACAAGATCCTCCTGTGTCCCAACAAGATCCTCCTCCTCTGTCCCAACAAGATCCTCCTCTGTGTCCCAACAAGATCCTCTTCTCTGTCCCAACAAGATCCTCTTCTCTGTCCCAACAAGATCCTCTTCTGTGTCCCAACAAGATCCTCTTCTGTGTCCCAACAAGATCCTCCTCTGTCCCAACAAGATCCTCCTCTGTGTCCCAACAAGATCCTCCTCTGTGTCCCAACAAGATCAGAAACCAACGTGTTTGTGGCGGCAGCAGAAATTCGATGTATGTGCAGATTCTTCTGCTTCTGGTAACAATGTTGTGAAAAATAAATATACAAATAGAGTGAACTTTAAAGAACTGAATTGTGTAATAATTATATAAATTATTCAAACTCCTGATTTAACGTTATTTAATCACAATGAGAAATTAAATTGGTTTCTTTTAAATGTTTTCCTTCCTGTTTGTTAAACTTATTGATTTCCTGCCAATAACAACAAGCTTTATTATTTATTATACACAGTTCCAAAGTTCTCTCAATGGTTGAACCAAGATTAAAATAACTTTATGCTGTTTCCCTTTAATGTCTGCTGGTTTCAGCTGGTTCATCACGTCAGTGCAGGATGATGTTGACAATAAAAATCTGTTTTCAGTTCAGAAGTTTATCTGGAATAAAGTTTTTGTTTTGGAGGCAGAAACAAAAAGGCAATATATACGGAGGACCAACACTGCCCAAATCACACATAAGTGTGCCATTAAATGCACCAAAAATACTATTAAAAATAACTAAGCATTAATTAATTTATAAATGTTTCTGTATAAAGTTGATCTCCTCAGGCTGATGTTGATCAACCAATAGGAGAGAAGCTGATCACATGACACCTTGAATGAAGCAGAAATACAAGCAGAAAAGTAAAAAATACAGAAATAAACTGTTATGGTGGAAATTAAACAAATAAAAGCAAAATTAAATGGGAAAGTAACTAAATAGGAGGAATGGGGGATTAATTTAAAGCTAAATACAGAAATATTAATTTAATTAATGCTTTTTTAAATTTTTGCATATTTGTTTATCGAGCTTCAGAATCTCTGCAGAGGAAACACCGAGCAGATCTCACTGACAGGAAGAGCACAGAGAACTTAAATAAAATACTGTGCAGACTCAAATAACAAAATAGATGAAAAGAGTGTTTTTGTCTCTGGAGTCTGGTGGAGAGTGACACTAGCTGTTAGCCTGTCAGCTAACGTAACACTGCAGCCGATGATGTCACAGCGTTCGGTATTAAACGGACGCCACAATAGTTATAATCATTCAAGTTCATATTTTATTTAACATAAATCATATTGCAGTCAATGTGAACAGCTGGGGTTTCAATATACACAATATAATCGTAACATTTTAAGCCCCGCCCCTCTGTGACCCCGCCCACAACCCCCCTCCCACCCGCCAAAATGAAAACATAAAGCCCCCTCCCCCTCCCCAAATAAACCCCGCCCACCCGACTCCTTTAAACAAATACACTTAGCCCCGCCCCCTACGACTACAGCCCCGCCCACCTGACACGAGGCTCCGCCCCCTGACGCTGAGAAAGTGTGTGTGTGTGTGTGTGTGTGTGTGTGTGTGTGTGTGTGTGGTTTACCAGCAAACTCCAAACGGACTCATCGCAGCGTTCGTGGCGGCAAATTGACGAGATTCAGTCGGCTCACCTGTCTTACCTCCACCTGTCTCACCTGTCGACAGGTTCCCATTTATTCTAGTTATTATGAAACTTGAGAACAAATCTGCATCGATGTCTTTGAGAGACATTTTAAGGTGCATGTGCTCAAGCCCCTCCCACTGTGACGCACAAGCCCCTCCCTCGAGCACTGACCTCCGCTTTAAGGAACTTTTTAAGGCAAACCTGCTGATGCTGTGGCTCACAAGCCCCGCCCCCTATTACCCACAAGCCCCTCCCACTCCAACCAGCGCTGACATCATCATACCTACAGCTCACCTGAGAGCTACGCTGCCATCTTGCTTAAAGGAGCTTTTTAAGGCTTACCTGATTGTGTTGATTCACTAGCCCCACCCATTCTGACTCTCAAGCCCCTCCCACACCAACTGGCCCCTCCCCCTAGCTCAGACGCCATTATACCTACAGCTGCAGACTCCACGTGTTGCCTTCAGGGAACATGTATTTCAGGGACTTCTTAAGGCGAATCTGCTGTTGCTGAGACTAAGAGCCCCTCCCACCCTAACAAGCCCCCCCCCCTTTAAAGGCGTGGCGGTTTTAGGGATCCTAACTGCAACTTTCTCCAGTCCTGTCGTCACCGGGAGGTTGCCAGGCAACCAGCCGAGCCGATGAGCTGTGTCTGGAGTTTGCTGACGTGTGACGAACAAACAAATGGCGGCGAGAGCGAGGGGGGCGTGTCCTTCTGACCACCTGTCTGATGCAGGTGTGTTCGCCACTTACAGAAAATAAAAAAAATTAAAAGAAAATCATGTGGTCGTCATCATCATCAGCGTTGTGGCGTTCTCCGAATCACTGACCTCCCCCTCCCTCCCACCCTCCCGCCCTCCCGCCCTCCCGCCATCATCACCCTTGGCCGCTGCTCGCCATCAAGTCCAGTTCTGGTGTGTGTGGTGTGTCGGAGTCCCGCTGTGGCGTGTAAACGGTTGAATGCTGCGTCTTGGAAGTAAAACAGAGAGAAATATGGGAGGAGGGGGGAGGAGGGGGAGACGAAGGGGGGAGGAGGAGGGGAGGGGAGGGGTTTCTTCGTCTTCTTCTTTTGTTTTAGAACAGAAAAGCGTCTTCTGGCGTGCTGCTTTCTGTCACCGCGGCGCCTGCTGCCGCCAACGAGCAGGACTGAGGAGTAAAGGGGGGAGGAGGAGGGGGTGAGGAAGAGGGGGAGGAGGAGGAGGGGAGGACTGTAGGGGGAGGGGTGGGGGAGTTTGGAGAATCATGGGACGCCAAGTTATTTAAGACACCTCTCGAAGTAGGTGGCGCCCACGTATCCGCCCCTCAGAGAGCGATGGACGTTCTGCTCAAAGAGCCGCCGGTTCGTCTGGAGGACTTCTGCCGCCTCCTTGTTCAACGGGTCCTCGGGGTTCGGCTCCTGGAGGGGGGAGGACGGGGGAGGAGAGGGGGGAGGAATTAACACATTAATGCTTTAGCTTCCTCATATTTACCTGTAACTAAAACTTGCTTGAATTTCCCTTGAGATAAATAAAATATCTAAAACAAAAAGAAAAGACTGAGCGACACTGAGCTAGTAGCTGCTAACGCTATGAGCTAGCTTCATTAGTAAACGCCCCCGAGTGCAGGATGAGTCATCAAATACATTTATTGATTATCAGGAAGCTCTAAAACACCATTAAGAACACCTGAACAGGACTTCCTGTCCCTGTTGGACACTCACTAGAAATAGATACTGTAGACCGTAGATGATGGAGTTTATTGTCAGCACAGGCTTCCAGTCCTCTCTGTGGAAGAGACAAACACAGACAGGTTCCTCTGTAGATAAAAACCTTTATTCTAAAGCAACAAACACAGAAAGGTTCCTCTGTAGATAAAAACCTTTATTCTAAAGCAACAAACACAGAAAGGTTCCTCTGTAGATAAAAACCTTTATTCTAAAGCAACAAACACAGAAAGGTTCCTCTGTAGATAAAAACCTTTATTCTAAAGCAACAAACACAGACAGGTTCCTCTGTAGATAAAAACCTTTATTCTAAAGCAACAAACACAGAAAGGTTCCTCTGTAGATAAAAACCTTTATTCTAAAGCAACAAACACAGAAAGGTTCCTCTGTAGATAAAAACCTTTATTCTAAAGCAACAAACACAGACAGGTTCCTCTGTAGATAAAAACCTTTATTCTAAAGCAACAAACACAGACAGGTTCCTCTGTAGATAAAAACCTTTATTCTAAAGCAACAAACACAGAAAGGTTCCTCTGTAGATAAAAACCTTTATTCTAAAGCAACAAACACAGACAGGTTCCTCTGTAGATAAAAACCTTTATTCTAAAGCAACAAACACAGAAAGGTTCCTCTGTAGATAAAAACCTTTATTCTAAAGCAACAAACACAGACAGGTTCCTCTGTAGATTAAAAACCTTTATTCTAAAGCAACAAACACAGAAAGGTTCCTCTGTAGATAAAAACCTTTATTCTAAAGCAACAAACACAGAAAGGTTCCTCTGTAGATAAAAACCTTTATTCTAAAGCAACAAACACAGAAAGGTTCCTCTGTAGATAAAAACCTTTATTCTAAAGCAACAAACACAGAAAGGTTCCTCTGTAGATAAAAACCTTTATTCTAAAGCAACAAACACAGAAAGGTTCCTCTGTAGATAAAAACCTTTATTCTAAAGCAACAAACCCAGAAAGGTTCCTCTGTAGATAAAAACCTTTATTCTAAAGCAACAAACACAGACAGGTTCCTCTGTAGATAAAAACCTTTATTCTAAAGCAACAAACACAGAAAGGTTCCTCTGTAGATAAAAACCTTTATTCTAAAGCAACAAACACAGAAAGGTTCCTCTGTAGATAAAAACCTTTATTCTAAAGCAACAAACACAGAAAGGTTCCTCTGTAGATAAAAACCTTTATTCTAAAGCAACAAACACAGAAAGGTTCCTCTGTAGATAAAAACCTTTATTCTAAAGCAACAAACACAGAAAGGTTCCTCTGTAGATAAAAACCTTTATTCTAAAGCAACAAACACAGACAGGTTCCTCTGTAGATAAAAACCTTTATTCTAAAGCAACAAACACAGAAAGGTTCCTCTGTAGATAAAAACCTTTATTCTAAAGCAACAAACACAGAAAGGTTCCTCTGTAGATAAAAACCTTTATTCTAAAGCAACAAACACAGAAAGGTTCCTCTGTAGATAAAAACCTTTATTCTAAAGCAACAAACACAGAAAGGTTCCTCTGTAGATAAAAACCTTTATTCTAAAGCAACAAACACAGAAAGGTTCCTCTGTAGATAAAAACCTTTATTCTAAAGCAACAAACACAGAAAGGTTCCTCTGTAGAACAAAAAAGGTTTTAAAAACCTTTATTCTAAAGCAACAAACACAGAAAGGTTCCTCTGTAGATAAAAACCTTTATTCTAAAGCAACAAACACAGACAGGTTCCTCTGTAGATAAAAACCTTTATTCTAAAGCAACAAACACAGAAAGGTTCCTCTGTAGATAAAAACCTTTATTCTAAAGCAACAAACACAGAAAGGTTCCTCTGTAGATAAAAACCTTTATTCTAAAGCAACAAACACAGAAAGGTTCCTCTGTAGATAAAAACCTTTATTCTAAAGCAACAAACACAGAAAGGTTCCTCTGTAGATAAAAACCTTTATTCTAAAGCAACAAACACAGAAAGGTTCCTCTGTAGATAAAAACCTTTATTCTAAAGCAACAAACACAGAAAGGTTCCTCTGTAGATAAAAACCTTTATTCTAAAGAACAAACACAAAAGGTTCCTCTGTGATAAAAACCTTTATTAAAGACAAACACAGAAGGTTCCTCTGTAGATAAAAACCTTTATTCTAAAGCAACAAACACAGAAAGGTTCCTCTGTAGATAAAAACCTTTATTCTAAAGCAACAAACACAGAAAGGTTCCTCTGTAGATAAAAACCTTTATTCAAAATTTATTCTAAAGCAACAAACCCAGAAAGGTTCCTCTGTAGATAAAAACCTTTATTCTAAAGCAACAAACCCAGAAAGGTTCCTCTGTAGATAAAAACCTTTATTCTAAAGTAACAAACACAGAAAGGTTCCTCTGTAGATAAAAACCTTTATTCTAAAGCAACAAACACAGAAAGGTTCCTCTGTAGATAAAAACCTTTATTCTAAAGCAACAAACACAGAAAGGTTCCTCTGTAGATAAAAACCTTTATTCTAAAGTAACAAACACAGAAAGGTTCCTCTGTAGATAAAAACCTTTATTCTAAAGTAACAAACACAGAAAGGTTCCTCTGTAGATAAAAACCTTTATTCTAAAGCAACAAACACAGACAGGTTCCTTATTTAACAGCTTTAGTTACTTAGATTTTAAAACAAGTAATCAGCATATTAAATATGAAGGGTGAGGTCATCATGTACTTGTAAAATACATTTTTTTTTTACTGTAATAAAGAAAAAATTTTGATTTTACGGCTAAAGTTTTATTCCATATTTTACCGCATTAATACAAATACACTGTAGCTTTAAGGGGACAGGTGTCACTGAGGTCACCTGGTGCAGGTACACACTTTAAATGAAGAGTGAACACACCTTAAGATATTTAGGCAGACGTTTCCTTCCAGGTCGATGTTGGGGTGGTACACCATCGTCTCACACTTTACCTTGGGGGGGTCGTGGGGGTAACCCTGTCCTACCTGAAACACACACACACACACACACACACACACACACACACACACACACACACACACACACACACACACACACACACACACACATACACAGTTTCCAGGTGTATCAGGGAGCACATTGTATAAAGCAACTGATCAACCAAACTACATTCAGGAAACAGCTGTTTTAAAAGCTGTTTGCTCGTCGCAGACAGACTTATTATTATGATTATTATTATTTCAGCATCTTATTGATCCGTTATTAACTCACAGATTGTATTTCATCCTGCTGCAGTGAGACAGGTTAAATTAAAATAAAGAAATGTGACTCAGTTTGAAGAAGATAATAATCAGAACCTACTGATTCTCTATTGATTACATTATAGATATTAGACATTGGTGATGTCATTGATTACAGCATCGATCGATTATTAAATATAATAAGAATGAATATACAAAACATACGTAATGCAATTATTGATCAGGGCAAATTAAAGCTGTGATGTTCTCTGTGAGTGCGACAGACAGACAGAGAGAGACAGAGACAGACAGAAAGAGACACAGACAGACAGAGAGACAGATAGAGACACAGAGAGAGAGAGAGAGAGAGAGAGAGACACAGAGAGAGAGAGACACAGACAGAGGGAGACAGACAGACAGACAGAGACAGACAGAGAGAGTGACAGAGAGACAGACAGACAGAGAGAGACACAGAGAGACAGAAAGAGACACAGACAGACAGAGAGACAGATAGACACACAGAGAGAGAGAGAGAGACACAGAGAGAGAGAGAGACACAGACAGAGAGACAGAGACACAGACAGAGGGAGACAGACAGACAGACAGACAGAGACAGACAGAGAGAGTGACAGAGAGACAGACAGACAGAGAGAGACACAGAGAGACAGACAGACAGACAGACAGACAGAGAGAGACAGAGACACAGAGAGACAGACAGGTGTGTCTCACCTTAAAGCTGAAGACAAACTTTCCTCCTTTGTAAAAACCCTGTGAGACAAACAGAGATCCTGTCAGACTATTATCAGACAGACAGGTTCTGATCCAGAGACTCGGTCTGGACCCCCATATGGGTCGTGGGAGGTTTGATGTGCTCGATTCCTTCCTCCTGCTCAACGGCCTGCGTTATAAACGCTGTCTCTTTAAACGTAACCAGGAACCCTCCTCGCTGTGCGTCATAAAGTCACTACCCAGAGGTGTGGACCTACAGAAGCTGCTCAGATGGTCTACAGATATAAATATATATATATAGAAATATAAACAGTGTCAGGGTGAATGTGCATCCTATATACTAGGGCTGAACGATTAATTGCATTTGCGATAATATCGCTATATGATAAAACGCGATTTTCTAACCGCAACTTGCGCGATTACAAGGTGGTCACGTGACGCGAGCAAAAGAGTGGAAAACTCGGCTGCATCAACTTTTCATGCTGCTCGACGGAACAGTCAGAAACGGACACAGCTGAGACTTTAGTCTCGAAGAGGAACAGCACGTCGGTGGTGTGGAACTATTTTGGTTTCAAAAGAGAAGATGCTGCGCAGCGTCAGGTGTTGTGCAGAGCGTGCCGTGCTCCGTTGCTACTTCACAGGGTAACACTACAAACTTGTTCCAGCACTTAAAAAAATACCACAAATCAATGTATGACAGTTGTATGGCCAAAATGCCGAGCACCAGAGCACCAGACAAGCCAAATACCTCAAGACAGGGATCACTGACCGTTTGAAGTGTCCCTCCATATGAACGTAACTCAAAACGGCACGGGGAAATCACTCGGGCAATAACCGAGTTCATAGCCAAAGATATGATGCCTCTCAGCACGGTGACCAAGCCTGGGTTCATGGCATTGATAAATACGCTGATAAACGGTACAGTACACCCTCCCGTACATACTTCAGTCAGACTGCCATACCGGAGCTGTACAAAAAGTGTAAAGAGAAAGTCGCCCTGGAGCTTAAAACGGTGGAGTTTTTTTTGGACAAGCCACATATCAAGTGTTATTGTTGTGTACTTGAGATAAGTGAGGTTGAGCTATATTATAATATTCAAATTGTTTTTTTATTGTCTAATTGAAAAGGGCATTTCTCCGTTTTTTATTTATAACTTTATTTACTTTGATTTTACAAAATATTTTCAAAGTAGTAGAGGCAAATTCTGTGTTTCAGTTGTGTGAAATGTTACTGACTTGGGAGCAGTAAGATACATATAATTTTAAATTATTTTTTTCTTAAGACTGTAAATTTTGCACAGTGTTTACAAAGTGCATGCCTTTGTTTAAATTACTTAAATGCACAGTGGCAAAGCCACAGATGTTTCTGTAATGAGCAGTTAAATAAAAATGTCATTTATTTCAAGGCATACATCTTTTAATTGAATTCTAACAAATAGGCCCAGCCTATGGGAAAGAACATTTTACACTAAATGTATCTAATATTGTGTTGTTCATATCTAAATCAGTCATTATGTTTTGTTGGGAAAAAAAGATAAAATAAAAAATAAATAAAAATAGCATATTAAATCGCAATTGCAATATTGGGGGGAAAAAAATCGCAATTAGATTATTTTCCCAAATCGTTCAGCCCTACTGTATACAGAGTAACAGTGTCTCAGATATTAACTCCAGTTACTGTGCAGCTCTACAGCGTTCACCACCAGGATGCTTTCTGTTTCCAGGACCTTTCCAGGAGTTTTATTAACAATCCAGGTCCCAGCCGGTCCTATAATTTAACATAATCTACTGTTAGGCGTGGTACTGACTGATTACAGGTAGCAGGACGCTCTGTTCTGGTTTACAGAACATTCAGAGACTTCAGGGATCATTTCCAGGATATTCGCTCATTTTAAATCAATTTCCACGACTGGAAAACTAGTTTCTACATTTCCAGGTTTTCCAGGTCGTGTGGGAAATCTGTACTGTCCTCTGCTGCTGAACCAAGGATGAGAATATTGATGAATATTGATGAATGGTACACAGACCTCGTCTGGCGAGATGATGAGTCTGAAGTTGAGGAGGTCATCGTCGTCGGGGAAGTTGATCTCACACGTCTTTGGCAGGTTCAACTCATTGATGTCTGGAACAGATAACGATCAATCATTCACAGTCTTTCAGTATTCGGTGCAGTGAGTCGACTCTCAGTAATACAGAAAGTGATGTTTTCACCTCATTGGTCGCTTAGAAAGTTACAGAAAACATTTCTGTGGATTTATGAAGCTTTTATAAGACTTTTGCTCTTTCATGAGAAATAATGAATAATGAAAATAAAACATCATAATTCTGACTTTAGTGTTTAATATTGTGTAAACAGCTTCAGACTACAGTTACAGTAGTTTATTGTACAGCCACCGTGCTGTCAGTCACTATAAATATAAAGTAGTTTACAGTGTAGCGCTAACAACGTCTGACCACCCAGTTTGTTTCAATCCTGTAAAATTTAACACATTAATTACTGTTTTTTGTCTTTGTAAGAACTAATTTCCCAGGACTTTCTTTGATTACAGGACAGCACTTGCTCACAAACGGTGGTCAGGTTAAAGACTCTCCGTTAGCTCGCCTTCGTGGCGCACTCTCCTCTCTGATCTGTTGGTTGTTGGTTGTTCGGGAGCACGACAGATAAATGACGTTATGTTTATAAAAGTTACCGAGTGCAGCTTTAAGTCTGTATGGATGTTCAAATGAAGACAGTAGAAGAAGCTACAGGAGGAGTTCGGCTCCTCTGACGACTCAGTCTATATATATTTATATATATATATAAAATATACTCTGTGTATGTAAATATATAAATATGGACACACCAACCCGTCCGTACAATGTCTGATTAAACTCACTTCCTGGCTTCAAACTGTCTGTTTATCTTCGATTATTAAGAAATTCTTTCACTTTCTCCTGTAATTTTATTTTATTTGTTTTAAAAACATAAAAAGATGAATGTCAGTTTTCTGGAGCTCAGACGAACCCTGGAGGGGCTGATATTGTTTACTGTAGTTTACACCCCCCCAAAACTACACAAATCAGCTGTTCAGAGGAGCTGCACTCCTCCTGTAGTTAGCACTGTAGTTAGCATAGTTAGCACTGTAGTTAGCATAGTTAGCACTGTAGTTAGCACTGTAGTTAGCACTGTAGTTAGCATAGTAAGCACTGTAGTTCATATTGTAGTTAGCACTGTAGTTCATATTGTAGTTAGCACTGTAGTTCATATTGTAGTTAGCACTGTAGTTTATATTGTAGTTAGCACTGTAGTTAGCATAGTTAGCACTGTAGTTCATATTGTAGTTAGCGTAGTTAGCACTGTAGTTTATATTGTAGTTAGCACTGTAGTTAGCATTGTAGTTAGCACTGTAGTTAGCATAGTTAGCACTGTAGTTCATATTGTAGTTAGCACTGTAGTTCATATTGTAGTTAGCACTGTAGTTAGCACTGTAGTTAGCACTGTAGTTAGCACTGTAGTTTATATTGTAGTTAGCACTGTAGTTCATATTGTAGTTAGCACTGTAGTTAGCATAGTTAGCACTGTAGTTTAGTATTGTAGTTAGCACTGTAGTTAGCACTGTAGTTTATATTGTAGTTAGCAGTGTAGTTAGCACTGTAGTTTATATTGTAGTTAGCACTGTAGTTAGCACTGTAGTTTATATTGTAGTTAGCACTGTAGTTAGCACTGTAGTTTATATTGTAGTTAGCACTGTAGTTCATATTGTAGTTAGCACTGTAGTTAGCACTGTAGTTCATATTGTAGTTAGCACTGTAGTTAGCACTGTAGTTCATATTGTAGTTAGCACTGTAGTTAGCACTGTAGTTAGCACTGTAGTTTATACTGTAGTTAGCACTGTAGTTAGCACTGTAGTTTATATTGTAGTTAGCACTGTAGTTAGCACTGTAGTTAGCACTGTAGTTTCATATTGTAGTTAGCACTGTAGTTAGCACTGTCGTAGTTAGCACTGTAGTTTGGTGACTCGTCATTCGGTGCAGGAAACTACGATGAATTTACAGAAAGGTTTATGTTGGGTTTGAGTTTATTTCCGGACGGAAACGATTGCGATTTGTTTTTATTTTAATGTTGATTATTAACTATTGATCTGTGAGGGTGACTCATAACTAACAGCCAATATCAATAACTTCAGATCAGAGTGATCAGTTAAACTCATCTCTGATCGATATTCACAGGACATAATAGAAACTTCCTCAAGTTATTGACAGTTCGGGCTCATTGATCAGTTGATCAGCTGCTGTTATTGATACTGATCAATAAGAAGCATACAGACAGTTTATTGATGACAGAACAGCTCGTGTTGGTGTGTCAGAGGGTGAACTGTTGGCTGATCGACAGACACTGAAACCGATAATCGATCAGTTCAGAGTGGAAGGAAGAAATAATCAGAGCTGACACAGCAGGTTAGCTAACAGCAGCTAGCCGCTAGCTCGCTCAACCTAAAGAGCTCTTTATGTTGAGCTAGCTAGCGGCTAGCTGCTGTTAGCTGCTGTTAGCTGCTGTTAGCTGCTGTTAGCTGGGTGCTAACACATTAGCTCCTCGCTGCGTTTTGTTTTCAAATATAGAAACAAGCTAGCCGCGGTTAGCTCGAGGCTAGCGTTAGCATGCTAGCAGTTAGCCTGAATGTTCGCGGGGCTCCGGAGGGGCTCCGGAGGGGCTCCCTGCGGCAGAGAGGGGACCGGAGAGGGGACCGGAGAGGGGACCGGAGAGGGGACCGGAGAGGCCGCAGGCAGCAGCCGGTAGCCGGGGCAGTGGGCCGGGGTCGAGCCTACCTTTCTGTATCCGGAGCTGGGCCGCGCTCGCTTTTTTACCCCCGGCTCCGGTTCTGTTTCCTCCAGCAGATTCCTCGTCTTTCTTCTGCTGCTTCAGGGAAAAGAGCTTAATCATCTTCAGTTATTGATAAGTGATTGCCTATACTGTGTGTGCCGGCGGTGTGCGGCGGTCTGTCGGTCTGTGTGGACGGTAACGAGAGGCGGTTGAGTCCCAGCAGCACCGGGAGGTTGATGGAGCCGGTGCGTCCCAACTAATCACACTGAGGAGGAGCTAGCTGCTAGCCTAGCATGGTAGCAGGCAGGAGAGGCCGGGCAGAGGGGGGGGGGGGGGGGGGGGGGGGGGGGTGTTATTTATTATAATAACATTTAATACTTTAATATTCTATAAGTAGCTTTAGACTACACTCTCAGTAGTTTAGTGTAAATCTAAATACAGAAAGTTACTGTAAATATAAAGCAGCAGTTTCACACAGTGATTTACAGACATTAATAACACTATTGATTATAATATAGGTATTGATCTGTGATGGGCACATTTTACACTCATTGATCGGTTTAAGTTCAATAAAAAAAGATAAATAATATAAACTAAGGTCAGTGCTTTACTATAATGTTTAATATGTTTCCAATAATGTGCAGATATTTCTAACTCTTCCAGAGACATTGAACCCAAACACAACCTCAAGCTGTTTAAAGAGACCTTTGATTCATTATAACTTTATTTTATCAATGAATGTTCTTGAAAACTCACATTAAATACTTAATAAATGAGACCTGATGAATGTATTTAACTGTTTATATTCCATTAGTAAAATAATGAACACATTATGTATTCTTAATAAAGGAGATAAAATAAATGCTTTGAGTTTCTTTCTCTCACTTTCTGAGACAGATAATGTGCATTTAGTAAACAACCGCTCCGCTCGGCTTTGTGCATTAAAGGTGATACAAATAAAATAATTCATATTTTTATATAGTCTGTACAAACTGACCACATTAGCGGTCGCAAGGCCTTCTTGATTTAAAAGGTTGTAAGAAAATATGTTATAATTTGTTTCATTTCTGTGAAGAAAATAAAATAAAATTATTGTTTTTGAAGTTTACATTATTATTTAAGATCTAAACTTTGGAGACCTGATCCCAGCGTACACTGACAGAGCTTCAGTCTCTGATCAACATCAGACAGATATTAAATCTGTCTGGTTGTTAAAACTTGTTTGTGTCATTATACAGTGATAATATGAGATATATACTAACTGTATATTAATATGATATCTGATATCATTAGAATATTCTGCTACTTTTATTCTTCACACTACAACTCCCAGGATGCCTTTCTTCACTCGACGCATTGCGACGTAACCACGCAGAGGGAGGCGGTGCGTGCATATTTTCACTGCCCATATTTTATTTACAACATTTATTTATTTATTTTAACCCCCCCCCCGTCACC